AAGTCATTCATGACAGCCATTGGGGCCGGGGGAGGACGAGGAAGGAGGAGCAGGAGGAGGAGGTGGGTGCGGAGCGCCAGCAGCGCCAGCATCAGCTGCATGAGGCAGGTGGCGGCTGCTGCCGCCGTCGCCGCTGGAGCCAGCGCCGTCAGCAACGGCCAACGCGTCGGCGTCGGTTCCTTCAACTGCGGCGGCGCCGCCGCCGATGCCACTGGCGTCCGCCGGGGTAGGTGGCCGCGGCGGCGCACCACTGCTGCGGTGGCGGCGGCGGCAGCTGACACCGGCGGCGGCGGCGGCGGCGTTGCCACTGGTGTGGCCATCCACCGCGCCCGCTTCCGCCTCCACCGCCACCCAGTGAGGTGTGCCGTGCATTTGTGCCGGGCCATCAAGCGTGTTGAGGCCAGGTTCGGTTCCGTCGCCGTAGGGGTATGTGGGACAGCCTGCTGTGCCGCGCCAAACTGGTAGTTATGCAAAAGAAGCCCAGCAGACGGCAAAACTGGTGACGTGCGCGCTTCAAAAAAAACCGTTACTACTATCCCGTAATGATAATTAATAACCCATAATTGTAAGGATATTTTTTGAGTTATCTTCGCGCGGCTCTTCCTCGTAAAAGGTGGCACAGGTGTGTGGTATGAAAATCCGCAGACACAGTCCCTGGACTGTTGCCGTCAAGGAAATTACTTAGGAATCAGGCAACGCGACGCTACGTCAAACCTGTGAAATCCAGGTCAACAAAGTTTGAAGTTAAGTTGGCTTAAATCGAAAAAAATGGAGGAAAAACCATTCTCCTATGCCCTGGAAGTGCTATACGCTGTAGCTGTACTTTTTTTGTGGCGAAACGGGTCAGCTACCGCTGTGCATTATGCCATGGGAAGTTTAAGCACCCAGTATCCAAACTCCGTGGGCAGAGTTCAATTCCATATCATGTGTTGTGGGCAAAATAAACTCAATGCATCTGCTGAAGAAGCTTTTAATGGCCGAGGGTGAGGTTCCAAAGTGGGATGTGAGGCACGCTTCACATACGGCGGCAGTCAATTAATGGCCTCGTAAGACCAAAACGTTTTGTAAATTAAATCCTACGTTTACAAGGACTCGCCTGAAGAACATGCGGTCAGGGATGTGGCTTGGGGCGACCGACCCAGATCGACAGGGGGTCCTTCCGCGCTGTCCGCCGCCAGACTTTCGCGGATAGCCTGCATGACCACAACAGCAAAGCTTTGCCGCCCCTCTGCACTAGCTTTCGTAAATTCACAATATGTGTATTTATGAGAAAATATTAAGGATATTGCATATAGCAAAAGCTGAGTAAAGGTTCACGCAGCAGGGGAACTGGAACAGTCAGCTAACAAAACATTCTCTGCCACGGAAGCTGCGGATGATAATCTTGTGAGAATATTTAAAACCTTAGATTAATTTCAAATTCATACTGAATATGCATCGCACCTCGTGCCGTGTGCAATAAGTTTCCAGCAGCACAGCGCAAGTTTCTCGTACCAGCGTCGGAACGCTATCACAGCTCGCGGTGCCATGCACTTCTAGTGCATATGATAGGGCGCACCATGCACTGTTGTACTCTTGCAAGCTCTGATGCAAATCGTTCCTGTCTTCGCATTCCAGCGCGGCCACAGCATGACCCAAAACTAGGTGCAAAGCAGGGACAAGGCCCTCCATTTCTGAATACGTTAACAAGATACGTTAACAATAGATCACATACGGTAGCAGGCTATTCGTTTACACTGCGCTTTCCATGGATGGCCCTCAGATGGTGAGTCACGGATTGGATGAAGGTAGGTAATCCCAACAAACTATAAATATGTAAGTGGAAAACCAATAGGATCCCTCAATTGCTGCGCTCGGCACGGGACGGTGAGGCAGATTTTCCGGCATTACTGTACTTCCGTACCGTATCTGGAACGGCCATTACTGTCGGGAGTTTTCGAACTTGCGGACCAACGTTGGATGTGTAAATATATAACATGATCTTTGCATGTTTCTCAAGCGACTTTTGAGCAAACATACCTAAAACGTCACCTATGCACTTTTGTACCGGATTTAGGTGAAGTGGCAATGTTCGGGCTGTTGCAGTGCCCGGTTGCTCGAAAGGCTTCCCAAAGTAATCCTCACCAGGGTGGTCGCGCGCGGCGGCGAGCAGCAGGTGCTGAGGACCTGGTAACTCAGGACCCTTGGAAGAGTTTTTCCCGTTTTCTTTTAAACTAAACATCCAGTCAATTGACCGCAGTGCTTGCAACTTTGATGTCGGATGTCCCGGCAAAAGTCGTTACACGTAAAGATGCCAGCGCGGTTGCTGAGCGCCAGCCTGCAAAGCATGCGTTAAATCAAATGGGTATTAACCTTGATGAGCATGTCCCTGTCGTGCATAAGCGGTCGCGCAAGGCCAAGCCCGTTACAGGTGCGTCCCCGCTCCATGTCAATACCGGCTTGTGACAGTTTTTGCCCAAGACATTGCGCCTCTGTGATCGCAGTGGCAATGCTTAACGACGTACGTACTATGTTCACGTCGTTACTCCATGAGTACGCCTACTGGGTCGACGAATCCTGGGTGAGCACCTTGTGCTTGAGCAAGTGACTACCAGGATGGTTTGTCATTACTGCCACCTCTGCACTCCCTCCCCAACGAGACGCTCTAGGATGGACCTGCTTGCGACCCCATTGCTAAGCATTTGAACCAAATTCTGCCACAGAACCCTTACAAATTGGGTTAAGGGAATATTCCGTACCACCATCGAATCGGGACATTTGGTCCTTTTGCCGTTCATGCGGCAGAAGGGCGTGTTTATCGCTCCCAGGCGCACCGCGCACCCAGGAACAGTCGCCCCACTTCGCCCGATTCAAACCCGTCCCCTTTTGCCCCCACCGTAATGCTCCGAAACCTGTTAAGGAAACCCTCATGGCTCCCTGACAGCTCCATTTTAATCTTTGCCGGTCAACTGCACCCGCCATGGCGCCTGGGGGTTATGCGACTCGCTAGTAACGTGTATAAAGGTGCAATATCCCCCAGGGCCCCGTCCCACAGTGGATTTCTCAGTTTGATCCTTACTCCTCTCCAGTTAAGGGGTAGGGCTAGGCTTCTGTGACCCTCTTCGCTTCCCATTTTCCCGCTATTGTCTTCCTCAATCCTCCGCCCGGCAGGTAACTGGTACGATCCCCCCCGAGCTGTACGGCACGTACTACCGCAACGGCCCCGCGCTACACGTGACCAACCCCCGGTACCGGCGCCACATCTTGGATGGCGACGGAATGGTATTCAGCATCGCCTTCAAGGACGGCAAGGCCTACTTCCGAAACCGCTTCGTCCGAACGAAGGGCTTTCTCGAAGAGCAGGTGCGCTGCGGGCGCGTGTAGGTGTGTATGTGTTTGCGTCATGTCTTTGTATGCTAGACAGCACCACTCAAGTTTGCGGGTGCGCACCTATTTCGTTTATGGGGAAGCCCAAGTTCAGCGATTACCGGCGATTCACCCCGTCCCAATTCGCCCCTTCTCCTCCCCCACCCTCAACGTCGCTAGGCTGCTGGCCATCCGCTGTACCGCAACTCCTTCACCCGGGGCTCCCACGACGGCAGCACCCCCTGGTTCAACCCCCTGGACCTCACCTTCAAGAACGTGGCCAACACGGGGGTCCTGCCGTGGGGGGGACAGCTGTATGCGCTGTGGGAGGTGAGAGGAGCAGGGGGGGTCCACAAGTGAAAAAAACAGTAGCAGCAGTAGTAGCAATAGCAGTAGTAGCAGCAGCAGTAGCAATAGCAGTAGTAGCAGCAGCAGTAGCAATAGCAGTAGTAGCAATAGCAATAGTAGCAATAGCAGCAGTAGCAGTAGTAGTAGCAGTAGTAGTAGTAGCAGTAGTAATAGCAGCAGCAGCTGTCGTGGTCCTCTCCAGGCCAATCAAGCTGAAATATAGTTAATCTGCCTCTTTTTGCCCTGGCCTCCCCCATCGTGCCCCGCCCCACCCGGCTATCCCCCACTCTCTGTACCTGCCACCTCTCCCATGTACTCCCCCGGCTATATCTCCCACGGGGCCCCCCTGCCCATCAGGGTCTCGCATCTCGCACAGAGGAGGATCTGGATCTGGGTAAACTGCCGTACCCCACTAAACCTATTAGCATCCTATTACGCTTCCGCATTATTATTACTGTGATCTTCCCCGCACCCTTGCAGGCCGGTTTGCCGTACCTGATGGACCCCACCAGCCTGGCCACCCATCGGGAGAGCCGCATGGGGGGTCAGATTCGTGCAAACACGTTTGCAGCACATTACCGAATAGTCACGGAGGGGGCGACGTCATGCAGCCCGTCGTCTGCAGCTGCGGTCGGCGCCAAAGCTACAGCCAGTAACGCGAATGCTAACGCTTCGCAACAACCGCAGCAGCGCCATATGGAGCATGGCGCTGCTAGCATGAGCGCTGCCGCCGCTGCGGCGGGACACGCATACAGTGGCAGTAGTGACAACACCTGCAGTAGCAGTAGCTGTCGGCGACTGGTGACGTTTTCCAATGAGTTCAGCTACGGCGGTGCTACGGCTGTGTTTTACGAGTTTGACGAGGCCGGTCAGCTGCTGCATGAGACCCGGCACAGGTTGCAGGTCAGTGAGCCGCCGCCCGCGTCGTGTATATGTGCGGGAAAGAGGGATGTGGGAGAGCATGCAACCTGTCTGTCGAAGCACGTCTGAACCTGTTGCCCGTCAAATCATTCTGATGGTGCCGTCGAAAATTCCAATCCGTCCTGATACGGTACACGTTGGGGCTTTTACTGCACATTTTTAGCTTGGTATTTTCATGCCGTACGTCATGTCGTACATGTGTAAACGAGTATTCTCACCTCCTGCTTGTCCTCGGCCCCTAATGCGACCCCGGCCCCCCCCCCCCCAACGCTTAGGGTTTAGACATTGCTCTGATTCACGACATGGTTGTCACAGAGCACTATTACGTGCTGGTGGTGGGGTCTATCCACCTGGACCCCTTCAAGTTCCTAACGCAGGTAGGGGTGTGTATCTGTCTGTCTGTCCGTCTGTCTGTCTGTCTGTCTGTCTGTCTGTCTGTCTGTGTGTGCGTTGGTGTGTGTGCATGGACGTAAAACACGAGGGGGAAGATTAGAAGGCTGCCGCGGGGTGCAGCCCCAGAAAGAGGTCTACGTCTCAGGCTCTTGTTGTCGCTTGGTGGCCCAAATTGTGTTTTTGTGTTCGTGGGTTAGAAAGCGCCCATCACCATCGTCATCACCACCATCTGGTGCATTTCCTTTCGCCTTCCGAAACCGCAACACTGTCTCAACCAAACCCACAACACCCCAGCAACATGTCACCCCCGACCCCACTCCGTCCTTGTCTGTACGGCTTCATGTACGAATCTGTATACGAGCAGTACGCTCTGGGTCTGTGTTCCATTGCGGAGGTCATGGTATTCGACCCTCGCCAGCCCACACGGATCATGATGTTCCCAAGGCCAGCCCGGCCCAGTGGGAAAGGTAGGCACATGTATGGAGGAGGGGGAGGGGAAGGGGGAGTGTATGTCCTGCCCGTGTATGTTTGCGGATTATGATGTTCATTGTGTTTAAACCATTCATTCGTATGTCTGGTTTGTGTGCCTGTATGTTAGAAAATAGGTAATACCGCCTACGTCGAAATTCCGTTCTCCACTTTTCAATGCCCCGTGTTTTTAAGGAAATAATAAAAAACAAAGAACATCAAAAACCCTCAAGACCAATTGTTATTTTGCTCAAGTAGCTCACGATTCTTGCCGTGTGTGTTTTATTTTTATCAATCTTAGGTTACCCAGCATATGGACAACTAAGAGAGTATCAAACGAATTAAAGAAAAATGCCTCTCTCTCCCCTTCCTCCCCTCCCCCCACACACATACAGTCTTGGCCCCCCGCGTGCTGACCACCGAGCCGCTCTTCGTGTTTCACAACGTGAACGGCTGGGAAGAGGAGGAGGAGGAGGAGGAGGGGGGAGAGGGGGCCCCAGCGGGAGGGATGAAGGTGGTGCTTGACTGTGTGGCCTGGGACGAGGTGTCGTTCGACATGGGCTTGTTCGACAAGTACAAACAGCGCGTGGATGGCTTTGTGGGTGAGTGGAAGGGGCTTACGGTGTCAACAGATTAGGGGGGCGATAACGGGGTTGCAACCCCGTAAGCGGTTTGATTGGTTGGAAGGTGGTTACAGGATGGGTGAGGAACGATAGATGACAAGGGTTTTTTTGTTACGGAAAAACTCCGCAACGCAATAAAGCGGAGGGCTGTGCGGCATTCATATTGTTTTGCGTTATTACGCTCAACAATAGTTGCGGCTCGAGAAGGGATGGGTACTGTCGAGATAGTAGGTTGATGCAAGAAACGAAGGGCCAACTGCCGCAAGGTGTCAAAGCCCAAGCACCTTTTGGAGGGGTGGCGCGGCGGGTAAGTATAAAGAGGTGGAGGAGGAGGGAGGGTGCGGATGATGGGCCCCAGTGGGCTGAGAGCGTCCTACTGCGCAATTAGTCTTCTGGCGCCATGCCTGGATGCTGTGCGTGTGCGTCGCCGCCGCTGCTGTACCCCTTTCCCTGCCTCGCTGCCAAAGAGCTACACCCCCCCCCTCTTGTCGTGTTGATGGTTTATGGAAGATGATGGTTTGTGGACGCTCTCCCTTGACCCGCCTTCAGAACCTTCACCCTTGAATCTAGAGCTTGCGGGAAGAAACAACTCTGCGTCGACCTGCGCGCCTATCAATTACACGTGTTCTTCAATCCATATATTGGTTGAATCATATTGGTTGAATTTCCACTGGTCGTCGTCGCCACCCGAACCTTCCGCGACTCCCGACTTCCCCACCCCAGGCGGTGCTCGCACCCAACTGACTCGGCTGACCTGCGACCTGCGCACCGGGGCCGTGGAGTGCCGCAAGCTGCTTCAGCGCACGGTGGAGTTCCCCATGACCGACCCGCGGGTCACTGCCCGACGTCACAGCGTCGCCTGGTTCATAGCTGACGCAGTCGACCACCCGGTCCTGTGGGGCCCGGCGCAGAGCGTCATACGGGTGGAGGTCGAGCCGGATACGGCTCCCCGCACGGCAGCTGCCACCACAGGAGGCGAAGGCGGCGGCCGACCCGCCGCTGCTGCAGTGGAGCCACGGCAGCTGGCGCCGCCGCGGCCGGCGGCAGGCACTGTCCGCGGCCTCGCCGCGGGAGCCGCCCCCGGCTTGGCTGTGGATTGCTGGTACCTGGGTGACCGTACCTTCCCTGGAGAGCCCATGTTTATTCCGCGTCCGGGTTCCTCCAGGGAGGGAGACGGCTGGCTGCTGGTGGCGGTGCACAATGCGGACTCGCAAAGGGCCGACGTGCTCATCTTTGACGCGGAGGCGCTGTCGGCGGGGCCACTGGCCACCCTGCACCTGCCGCACAGGCTGCCCGTGAGCCTCCACGGCGCCTGGGACCCGACCTACCGGGGACCCGATCCACACGATCCCAAGGTGCCTCGCTGGCAGGAGCCCTCTGTTGTGCGGCCGATGTAGTGCCGCTTCCCCTAAACCTCGGGACACATCTGGGGTATCTGGGGTAGTACAGATGGCGCACTTGGGAGGGGAGGGGGAGAGAGGGCGCGAGGAAGCAAGGAGGGGGGGAGGGGGGGAATGGGGGTCCAGAGGAGGTGTGAAAGGCTGGAGTGTTTTGTCACTATAACTCGGTGGGTACGGGACGCGGATGGGCATGGCCACGTCCTAGAATATTGTTTTGTTCTGAGGGTTATTTTTGTGTGTACATACATTCAGCAGCCTCCTGCTGGCTGAAGGATGTTTATCGTTCCAAGCTGTGTGCAGCCTGGAGCTGAGAGGCGCAGGCATGTCCGCCGGGGACCGGGCAGGACGGGTATGGCGGGGCCTGGACAGGGCTGTTCAGGCCACCATGATCTACCGAGCGAGAGAAAAGAGCATGGGGATAAGAAGAAGAAGAAGAGGAAGAAGAAGAGGAAGGGGAGGATATGTTAGTTGTGCCCTTCCCTCTGATCTATCGAACGGTGGAAAAAAGAGCAGAAAAAAGAGAACGAACTACGATATTCCTTCATTGCCGTGGCAGTAACGTTTTGTGCTTCATTAATTCATTGGAGTTCTGGAGGACGAACTATGTATTCATGGAGTGGGGCATTGTATGCACAGCGCTCAGCCCTGGCGTTGGGAATTTTTTGAAGGCATCCGAAATGACAGTGACTGTCCTCTGGGCATGGGTTGAGCAAAAGCTGGCGGCGCCAGCAGCCCTGGCTGCATGGCCCCTTCCAACCAACCGGGTCCTCTTGAGGAAGCGCATCAGGTACAGGGGCCCCCTCCTTGTGGATGACGGTTGTTCCGGTGATGTGCGCCCACGGGTCGGGGTGGATCAGGGCGGGGGCTGTGCCTGGCAAGCAAGGGCAGGGGCTTGTTGAGCAGTAACACAACCGCGGCTGTCATCAACATCCCGCGGCAGTAGCTGAGCAGGCCGTACGTGCGGGCGGTGGGGCGGTGGGGCTGTGTTGAGATAGGAGTTGGTTGGTCGCCCGGCTCTCGCGCGGCGATGTTCGGATGGGGGTAGGCCAGCTGCTTGCTGTTGCGCCGTTGAGGGAGAGAGAGAGAGAGAGACACAGGAACACTGGAGGTGGGTTGTGGGAGAAAAGACGGGCAGGCAAGGTGACGTAATTGTAGGAGTCAGATGGAAAGATTTGGTTATTTAAAATTTTTGGGGAGGGAATGAGGTAACTTGCTGAGGTGCTTTCACTTGCGAAAGGATGAGAGGTTTTTTCTCGAATTGAGTCCGACGAAGAAAGTCGCTGGTGCCTGATGTCGGGCGGTGTTGGCGCGGTTGGGCGTTTGGGCTGTAGTTGGTTTGTTGGTTGGTTATGCGACAAAAATTGCAAAGACCTGTGCACGGCGGAATACTGCACCAAGTGAAGGTCGCCATTATGATTTACTTATCTTGACGACGACATTGACGCTTTGCTTGGTATGTCTCGAGCCATATTGCCGTCGTCCCCGGATTACAAAGTTTGGAAGACACGTTGCTCATGTGCAACGGGATGTCCTAAAGGGCTTTTGCAATATCGAGCGACGGAAAGCCAACCTAGGAGAACCAATTTTCTTTTCCCCGGCAAGTGTATTATTGACGCGTAGCAGGACTTGTTGGTTGTGAGTTTCCTTTGTCGCGCGTACAGTACGTTGACCTCGTATGATGACTCAATGTGCTGTGAGTGTGTATGTGTATGTGCATTGCACAAGCTCTATGAGAGAATTTTATGTACCTATACATATGTGTAGGGAGAGTCGGGAGAGTTGAGAATGGATTTGGTACAAAGGCTTGTGGCAGGTGTAGCCTATGCTTCTGTGTGGCATAGTTACGTGCTCCTTGGCTTTTGGAGTTGCTGCATGAGGTGCTGAAAAGGTGTTGGACAAGCACTGGAAATGGAATGCCACACACGTTCCATACGATGCCCCGCTGGTCTCATTCCCATGTTGTTTGGGGGCGGGCGTACGGATGGGACGAGGATGAAGCCAGCTGCAACAGCCGTCTCAGCTGCCGCCAGGTCGGAGGCCCACATCGGACGTCTTCATGATATGGGGCGTTCACGTCATCCTGGGAGCCCCGCAAACGTACACGCCGCGGTTTGGCGGGGTCGGCACGGAGTCGGGTCCCGTATGTATGTTGTTACAGGGTGGTATATATAGCTTCACCAGCGGCCCCCTTTCCCGAGGCAGTTCCCGTCTCTCCCCTGCTAGAGGGGCACCCTAATCCGTTCACCCCATCCGACTTCAGAATGTATTCGTATGTATGTATGTGTGTACGTGTATGTACGTGCGTATGTGCGTACGTGCGTACGTACGCATGTATGACTGTCCTCGTGCTGTGTTTTGCGTACCGCCTTGTTCCGGTTTGGGGCACTGGCAGCTGTGTACTTGCTGCCGGTCATTGCTCAGGTATGAGCCATGTCCCCCAACCTCTTACACATCTGCCGTGACTTTTCCACCTTTGAAACCAAAGGTACAACAACACGTGAACATGGTGCGCTGGGACACACAAGTGTTTCGCAAGTTCCAGATGGCCCGTATTCAACCCGACAGCTCTGACGCCGCGGACATTGCCCTCCCAGCTGGAGAGGATTTGATTCTATTCCCTTTCAGTCGGCTTGGTCGGCATCGTGCGCAGACATCGGAAAATGCTTCGGGACTTTTGGTGCCGTACCGAGGCTCCATGAAACAGAAACTCGTTCCCCGAACGCAGCAGTTTACAAAAATAGGACCACCTGAACCGTGTATTTGCCTCCACGCCGCGTGAAGGGCCTGCAACACAAAATTCTGACGTTAACCACGAAATAGGCGAGTTTCCGGTGCTATGGGCTCAGACATCGGCAAACGCTTCGGGAGTTTCGGTACGACCCGAAACTCCCGAAAGCAGAAATAGAGTTCCCGAAGCTGGCGGGCTTGCAGAAATACGATCATACACCGTATACGAAAGGTGTTATGTGGCCCGACGGGCCGCCCGACGACCTAAGTCCGCGGTCAATGATGAAGAACAGGTCGCGGGCCATTGTACTGGAAGACAGAAATAGTATCGTTTCCCCGAAACCAGAAATACCCCATTTGCCGATTCGGCAAATGGGGTATTTCTGGTTTCGGGGAAACGGTTCAGACATCGGATGTCTGTATGGGCTTCGTGCGGACATACAGTCGCTTTGACACAAGTTCTACCTCTCCTTTAAAGCTTAAATCGCGTTTGCGAATGTCTTATCGTGCGATTGACAGCAGGAAAGCTGTTGATGGCGGTTGTTTGCGGTTTGTCCGTTTTATCGTACAGTTGTCCATAATACTACTCTGATGAACAGCACTTATGCCGCCTAAGGCACGGGGGCACGCCACAAAGGATTGGAGGAGCTCGATAATGTATAGCCGGATCTCCTGACTAGGCCTTGTTCACAGAATACGTGCACTGTCCTGCCGGTATGCGAGCTTTCGCCTGCGGTAGGCAGGCTGCGCGCATCCATGCTGGATGTAAATAATAATACCTAGCTCGCCTACCTCGTGTGGCCTGGACACCGCCTCCTGTTCGCGCGCTTTCTATCCACCGGGATGACGACCTGCAGTGCTATGTTTTCGTTCCTAAACGAGGTCTTTATATCTTTTAGTGGTAAGGTTATAATTCTATGCCCGTGATGTTATTTGTATGACGTATTGACCAGCTAGCCATGAAATCGTGCAGAAGTGCTGACCAACGAAGGCAGCTGCTACGAGACTTGTAAAGAAAAGCTTTATGAGCTCAATGTGAAATGCCACCATAAAGGTCTTTCCGGGTGGGATTCCAGCTAAGCATCTATCTGCCATTTTCCACTTGAGCCCCCACTGCGGCTGACATTTACCCCCATCCACCCGCGCAGGGCAAACGCCCTTAGCATCATTACCCAGTATCAAGATCAAATCAAATGGCAGGTGTGCCCTTCACGGATACTGACCCACAAGTGGACAGTTGCAGTCTCACCCCTGGGCTTACATCCGGCTTCGCAGGACATGTCTCCCGACCAGTTTGGCCGGTTCTACCGCTTCATCTTCTACATCTGCAGAGATCACGGGAGACGCAATATTCAGGTGCGACATGGGAAGAACCCGAAGCTTCGCGAAAACTCGCCTCACAACAGTACTGGCATATGCTTGAAGTTCTGTAGCCGTAATCAGCCACCAAGCTAGCCCCATACCAAGCAGGCTGGGTCAACCTTGACCAGGACCCCTGCTTTGGCCTTTTGGACTGACTTTTGGTCGTACATACATACATACATACATACATACATACATACATACATACATACATACATACATACATACATACATACATACACGCACACCGTGCCACACCGCACTTCACACTGCACCGCTCCGCACCGCACTGCATCATCAGATGAGCGTCGCGGTGGCGGCCTGGCGCCTCGTTCTCCTTGGGCGCTTTCGGCTGCTGGACCGCTGGTGCACCTTCGCAGCGGCTAGCTCCGCGCTGGTGGTCACTCAGGACTTGTGGCGCCAGGTGGGGAGGGGGGGGGATGCCGTACAGAGAAGGGGGGAGAGCAACCGGAGGGAGAGTAAGACAAAACTGCAGACCTGGGTATCGGGATACGGAGGGGGGCCCCCGGGTCCATTGGGTGCCGAGTTCAAATCCCACGACGGCGCGGGGGGGGACTTCTTGTTAGGGATCAGACAGCAGGATGGGCCCAGGGCTTCTGCTTTTTCGTGGATCTGGTTACCTTGCTTGCCTTGCTTACTAGCTGACGTGCTAGCCAGATGGTGTCTGTTTCCCTAGGTGCTGGACTTCAGCCGTACTGTGCACGAGGACCTGTCGAACTACGACACGGCGGGCTCCTGGGCGGTGCTGCTGGATGAGTTCGTGGAGGAGATGCGGACGTCGCGGCGGCGGACGTACACCACTCTTGATGGCAGCGGCAACGTTGTCGTAGGTGGTGCTGGTGGTGGCGGCGGTGCTGGTGGTGGCGGCAGCTCCGAACGGCTCGGCCGCCGGGTGTCCTCGGGGGCGGATCTGGGCGTGCTGTTCGCTGGTGGTGGCGGCGGTGGCGTCCCCGGACACTGTGGTTCCGGAGCCACCGGCGATCATGGCGACGACGGCGGCGGCTTCCCTAGCTTCGTGGCCAGCATCTCCCCTAGGTGCGGTAGCAAGCGTCGCGGGCCGGATGTGGACGTGGTTGCTGAGCAGCTGTCCGCAATGCCGCTAGGAGCGGGCCACCCGCATCAGCCCCAGCACTCTCCCGCAGTCCGCATGCACGGGTCTCTCGGAGGCGCTGTGGCTCACGGGGCTGTACGGCAGTGCGGCCATGGCGGTTACGGACAAGGCAGCCTCCAGCCGTACGTCGCTGGTGGCGGCAGCTTTCAGCGTGCCGGTATCGCGGAAGCTTTGGTCAAGCGACAGTGCTTGGACCGGCAGGCGCAGCTACAGCCGCCATACGCGCAGCAGCAGCCTTTGGCCCTGCCGCAGCCGTTCCCGTTAGGAAGGGCGGATTCCTTAGGAATCGCCGCCAGCAGCGCCGGTAGCGGCGGCGGTGGCGGCGGTGAGAGTGTGGTGGGGCTGTGCGGCGGCCGCACCCCCTGCAGCGGCGGCGGCGGCGGCGGCGGCAGCCACCCCATGTCGTGTTCCACGGGCTCCTGGGACAGCGACGGCGGGTCCCAGGGCGCTCCCACGGGGTCGGCAGGGATGGACTGCTGGCTCCAGGTGTGGACAGAGGGGGGTGAGGTTGGGGGTTGGGGTGGGGTGGGGGTTTAGAGGTGGTTGCCTGCAACCCGGCGTGGCTGGACCGGGGAAGGTCGCTTCAGGTCCAAACCCTAAGAATTCCCTAAGGTGTCAGGCCAGGGGACAGGGGGAACGCCACCCTTTCAAACGGCGGGTTGGGTAGGGTGGGGTGGGTGGCCGTCACCGCTTGTGGATAGGGGTGGCGCATCTCTTTGAATTCCATCACGTCAGATCAGATGACATGTGGGGCCGCCCCGCCCCGCCCCGCCCCTCCCCCGGCCGGCGGGCCAGCCGGCCTGGCGTCGTTACACCCCCATCACCTGCAGCTTCATCATCACATGATCTTGCCACGTTAGCGGAGGCCGCTGACCTGTAGCTCGTGGTGTTCGTATCCCCCGGTATATTCCGGTAATTACTTTCATACGCTCATTCCCACTGATTTCTACACACACACACACACACCCGGGGGGTGGGCCGCAGTCTCACACGGTAGTGGCTGCTGCAATCTTGTGTCCTTGCTTTCTTCACGACGCGCGCGGTTTCTCCCGCTTCCCGCCCGCCGGCGCAGGACCATGCCAGCATCTCCGGGCAGGAGCCAGCCGCCCTACTGCAGCAGCATCAGCAGCATCACTTGTGCCCGGCGCAGCACTGCCAGCAGCGCAAGGCCATCAGGGCGCGGCGGTCCGGGCTCTCAGACATCGTGAAATCTGCAGTCGCTGACGCACTCGGGTTTTAACTTTAGAGCTACCCTCATGCCATCGTCACTACCACCGTCACTACCACCGTCACTACCACCGTCAAGCGCAGGAAGAGCAGCATTGTATTTGGGGGGAGTGGTGGCGGTGGTAGGTGGTTCGTGGGGCACTGGGCCTTACAAAGGCTTTTATGGTGGCCCTCTGGTGTTGTCTGTGTGCGGGGGGTTGCGGGGCTGGGGGGCTGGGTAGAGGTAGCTGAGGGGATGGAAGGAAGGCTTGGAGGGGGCTGCGTTGACCATGTACATACTCGTTGACGGAGAGCTGTACTCTGTGAGCTGGTGAGTTGCTTTCCTGGTGGTGAGAGATGGATGTGGATGTGAGTGGTGGGCGTTATCGAGTGAGTACTGCTGAACGGGCGCTGTGACGTAATAGGGAGGGGGGAGCTGTTGGGAGTCCGTGTAGGGTACGGCGGTGTGCGGCAGTGAGAGGAAACCTGGAGGGGGCGAGCACATGGGGTGAAGTCGTCCTTGTGCTGCCAGCTGGTTGGCCCCTGCTGCTGCTGCTGCTGCTGTACAGACTACTCGCACATTTACAAATAGGGTTTGGGTCTAAGGATGAAGCCTTCCCTTCCGCGCCGAGCCGGAGGGGCTGTGGATGGCGCTGAAGGATCTTCACGACTTCACGGACGAAGAGTCGCGCTGCTGCAGCTGCTGCTGCTGTTTTTATGGAATGGGATGGTAAAGTTGCGGATGCACATACGTGGTTTACAAAAATAAACATAGCTTTTTTTAATTCCTCTTTATGTTTCAAAATTCTGGTGGTGCTAGTCCTGGTCCGCGCAGTTGGGTCTTTTTCGTTGTTATGCTTTAGAGGCTTTTTCCCTGTATAATAAATATCTTGTAGTTAGCGGCTTGGCGGAAGTCACGATACCCTCCCAGGACTTCACAACAGAGGGGCCTACGTCGTATGGCCGTGTGTCTGAGGGCCTAATGCCGTTGGTGCACAACAAGAGACACATACGGCCATGAGCTCATCAGGTCTGCACTCGGAGCGCGCGCTGCTACCACGTCCCCGAGAGACCCTTTCAATCCCCGCACACACCCTGTACCGCCCGATCTTATGGCGCAGCTGTCACCATGGGCTTCATCACATTCGGCAGCTTCATTTCACAACCATAAGCGGAAGGCCCCTCCCTGGAAACCTGCACATGGCTTTATCCTGCTCTATCCGCCGAACATAGCTCCGGTATGGTGTGTGTGTGTGTGTGTGTGTTTGTGTTACATGGTTAGGGGTGCGTGACCCCATACCTGTAAAACTAGCCATGCGGTGCCGAAACCCTAAACCCAAAAACCAGCCTGCGCTCGATGCCTAAGCTTGAGGCCCTGGCGTGCTTGGACCAATATTTGGAGGACAATAGAAGCATTGTAGCATTTAGTTAACGCCCCGCAAACCGCTATGACTTAGGGTTTGTAGTAGTTGCCCATGACAGAGCTGTCAACCTGCTCAGGGAAGTCACCCGTCGTCCTGATGTGCTCCAAAAGGGCATATGCAGGATATATATAGGCACTAACTTGCTTGTTGCTGTCCTATATCTTCCGCAGCATCGGCCCTCAATGCATGCACTCTCCTGGCCCCCTGCACCTACAGTAGCGCTCCGCCAGCGCCCTCCTGCATCCTTTGGCCCTGTTCGGCCTCGCAGCCGACATCAGCACACGGTCGAACAACCGACTTATGCTTTTGGCGTGACCTAGCTAACGGCATGACAAAACCTTAGTAAGGCGGGCCGCTTCGAGTTGCTTGCGGTGAGGCTAGATTCAACATGCCATCACAGTCACTCGCGGCAATTCGTCGCGATAGAGCCATCGGAACGGTCTGTGGGTGAAGTTGGACTGCTGCTTCTTCCTCCTTTTAGACTGCTGCCTTGCCCCCCTAGCTATCCCCTGTGTGCCGAGGCACTGCGGCAGATCCTGGATCCTGTTCCTGGCATGTCCATGGTCTCGCCTCCCTGTTTAAGATCGTGACGCGAAATACGATAGCGACGTTTGACGACAGTTTTGGCAGCCTCCTGGCTTTCCTTACAAAGGTTCCAAATTCTGATCGGTTGTGGCTCTACAGGACCAGAAATACGCACAACTCGCGTCAGCCACCTCGCGTCATCTGGAACTCTGCCCTGCCTCCATTCTCACGGCACTGTACCGTACCGGCACGCACGACAGAAGCGAAGCGGTCGTACCGGTGACAACGTTTCCGTAAGTACACAAGTATAAAACATACAAGTATTGTTTCTATGTGTCATTATAATCATTTAGCAAAGCTTGCTGAAGGCCAACAGCTGTGCTTTATGCTAAAATTGTACACATGCCATTCGCCGTCAGGATCCGCCAGTCGAAAGCCTAAAATTAGAAATATAGAAGTAAGAACCGAAATAAGTAGTATTGAGAAAGACCGAAAAGAAAGAAAGAGGAAAGCAGGGCTTGCAAAATCGAGTTGGCCCTACCCCAAGCAAGTCCCCATCCAGCAGCTAAAGACTAGCCACAGCCCCGCCAAGGGCATATAAATGATATTCGAAGCAGGATAGCTTCTGTCGGTGGTATGGGCCACCTCAGCAAATACATAAGCTCCAGCCGAGTGCATACAGCCGGCTTGGTGCCCCTCTTAAAAAGCCAATAGCAAAAGGAGCACCTCGCCACATCTGTTTTTATGTTTTGCAGTTACCTCTGCGCGGCATGATTCCCCATTGTGCAAAAAGACAGCCAATCGAATCGGCGGGTCGGATGGGCCCCGCAACCGCACCCTTCCATGCACGCACGCATGCGCAGAACAAACAAGCGCAGGAGAGACAAGGAGAGAGAAGAGAAGGAGTCAGAATGAGAAGTAAAAAGAGGAGCTCAAAAGGGGACCAAGCCTGATGGCAGGGAAGTATCAGAAGCAAGTTTAAAGCCAGCACTACGGCATCCGCACCAGCGCGCAAACACACACAGCGGCGGCACGCAGTGACACGGCTTCGCGAAACGCGTGTCCTTCCATCGCGTGTTTTTCCAACGAATCTACCGGCGCCTTTTGCGTAGAACGAGAGACTCGCAAGGGCCACCGCAGGCCTTGCGGCTTGCGCACCTCCTCGGCACGCAGCCTGGAACTAACCCCCATGCTGGTTGCTCCATCCTGCATCACTTTTCCACAGAACACCGCGCTAACTAACCGCGCTAACTCAAATTGGTTGATGCAAAACAAACATAAAGTAAAGAGAGAGAAGAAAGAGATATGCGCGCAAACTGAAAGAGAAAAAGAGAGAGAAAGGCACGGCGAGATATATAGGGACAGGTAGATTTGTTGAAAAGGCACCACACACCTGAACCGATCGCGGGGGCACTCGGTGACAAACAAAAAAGGCATCGCTGTGATGCCGTGCTGCCCTTACCCGATCTGTGGCCAGCACCACGGGGCGCGGAACTGTGGCAGCAGCGGTCGCAATAATGGCAGCAACAGCAGCAGCAGCACTAGCAAGAAGACCATTAGAGTCCGACAGCAGATTCGAACCCCAAACTCACACACACAAATGGTCTTGGAAAAAGAGATGGTGCAGAAACATGGAACAAAACTCTCCAAGCGCACTCCGAGCAGCTCGCATCCGGTGCCTATTGCCCCACACACCATATAATATTCGTACAGTACGACACACGGTCGCCGCCGCGCAGGTCACGCACGTATACATACGTGCACATACATACGCGAAACACACATTTGGACAGCCATGGCAGCAAATTTGCCACGGCCACCTGATGAGATAAAAATGAACGTCATCATGCACATGCCTCTGGCAACACACCTGCGCACCTAGCTGTCTCGTCAAAATGGGATTAATGGAGACCTCTCGAGGGAGGGCGACCCCCGGGTTCTGAACCGCTTTCGAAGCCCACATCTCATGCATGTTCCTGATCCCGTCGACCCCGCCAAAGACCTGGCCGGGCTAACACACAGCGTGCCCCCGTCAGCGCTCTCCCGACCGTCCCCTCCTCCTCCTCCCCCACGCCGCTGCGGGATTGTAATGACCGCCCTTCCCTCAGCTCCCCAGCTACCCCCTGCAACCCCGCACCAGGGCCCCCGGGCGCGATCCCAACCCAGTGAAATACCACTAGCAGCGATCACACCACTGTATGCGAGGGCGTACGACGTCTCAAAAAGCAACAGCTGCGGCACCTGGAGCAACAGCAGCAGCAACAGCGGCGTCCGCGTCCCCGTATGCGGGTGCTGTACCAGGAATGTACTGCACTTGCTGCTGTGCCGTACAGTGTGGTGCTCATTGGTAGGCCTACCCCGTCATGCCGTACCACGGGACTAAAATCGTCCGATGGTTTGGAAACACTTGTAGCAGCACCCTAGCGGCACAAAGTTCTGAGGCGTCCCTTGACACCCCAAGACGTCGGCAATCTGTCAATTTCTGGAGCCCTTACGAGTGGTTGTTCGCTCATCCGCCAGTCACCCCCCTCCTCCCACTGCTCGACTAGTAGGATGTCCGGCAATAAAATGTTGGTTCGTAAGATGTTCGTAAGATGTTGGTTCGTAAGCTCCCCAACCGTGCCGTTCGCATTCCCGCGCGCGCGCGTGTGTGTGTATGCACATTCACACATGCCCACGAGCATGCAGATCGGCGGCAACAACACGGGATGTGGTGTCTGTGTTAGCGAAGCCTCATCACAGCAGGTCCCACTTCGTCAGCATCAGCCCGCTGGCGCCCGCGGCTCCGGGATAGCCCATCTTCGCACCGGCGGCCACAGCAGCCGCTGCGGCAGCGGCAGCGGCACCTGCCCCTGAACCAGTCGCAGCAAAAAAAAGGGGGAGGGAAGTGAAGAGGGGCAGGAGGTGCACTTGGGCCCGCTTCTAGGCGTATGGGGGTGGGGTGGGGCAGCCGGAGGTTGTGAACGGGACTTGGGCGTGAATGGGTGCCGGAACAACGACACACGATGGGCGGGCGAATGGAGAGTGTGCGGAGGGGTGTGACGGGTGGGTGGTGAAGGGCGGCTGTATCGCCAGCCTAAGAGAAAAAACAGGGAATTGAAGGAAATGGGAGAATAGAGGCCGATGCGACCTTCAGCGGGGCTGTGCTGGCGAAAATCAACGTCGTACAGACGATAAAACTTATAGCTCAGGGCCCCATTCCGTCACAACTGCAGGCAACGCGCTCGCAATGGGGCAAATTACGTGTACTTGCTGCCGTACCGTGTCCTGTTATGCCGGGGCACGGCTGCGGGACGACGCCATGGGGATGCAGCAGCGGTCCGCCGGCGGCGGCGGCGGCGGCGATGGCCTCCGACTGCAAGGACCGTAAGGCCCCCGGGGCCAAGTACGTCAAGCTCCTTTCCGAATCGGAGCTTATGGACCGCCGCCGGTTGCCGCTGTTGCTGCTCGTGGAGTCCGCAGAGCCGGTCGGGTGTGTGCCGCCTGGGCTGTACGACCCATGGGTCATTACGCGACCTTGGAAGGCCATAGCGTGGCCAAGTAGGGCGGCCGCCGGCGGCGGCAGCGATACTGTCGCCGCCGCTAGAGAACCGGCGGCGGCGCCGCCCCCGCTGAGCGCGTCGTCGGCGCGTCGATCCGACGCCAGCATGTCGCCGGGAACGGTCGGACCCATGTACGGATTGCGTGACGGGTGGCCGACATTCTGCGGAGCATGTGCGAGGGCGCCGGCGGGGACGCCGGCACCGGAGGCGGCCCCGGTCACCGCCGGCAGCCTGTTGTACAGAAACGCCGGCGGCAGGTGTTGCGGCATGCCTGGTGCCATGCCCGGCCGCGCTGCTGCTGCTGCTGCGGCGGCGGCGGCGGCTGCTGCTGCGGCCGGGCCAGCAGCGGGGGGGGCCCCAGCATCACCGTGGCGGCCTCCAGCTGCGCCCATCAGGGCTTCCACGGTGCGGACGATGTTGTGGTGGGGAGGCGGTACACCGACTGCCCGAGGACGAGAAGAGGCGGCGGATGGCAGTACGGCTATGTGCGGGCGATGCAGATGAAGATGGGGCTCCAGGAGCTGGCCCACAGGAACATGCGTCGGCAGCGGCGCAGCGCCGCTGCGGCCGCTGCCGTCACTGCTCTGTCGAGTCGCCGCGGGGGCCCCGCGGCCGTACTTGACCACCGGTGACAACGTATCGGCTCCGCCAGGTGCCGCCGCCGCTGCCGCCGCCGCTGACGGTGAATCCTTTGACCCGTATGACAGAGGTGAGGCTGCATCAAACTCATCCCAGCTGCGGCAGGCGGTCATGGCGGTCACAAAGCCTTCACCGGCCGGATGTGGGTGCTGAGGCTGGTGCTGGTGCTGCTGTTGCTGTTGCTGCGTGTGCTCTGGATGGGTGCAATGCGGCCGGAACGGCTGCATGGTGCCGCCGCTTGGGCCCGGGCCCCTCGCCAGACCCGAGCGGTTGTACGTGGGCTGCACCATGAGTTGCTGGCTGGGGCTGGCGCCATCGGCGCGAGGATCGCTGCAGGCAGTGGCAGCGGGCGCCGGGGCCGGCGCCATCACTGGCGCTGACGTCAGCGCCAGCCGCGTCGGGCTAACGGTGGCAACGGAGGCGGAAGCGGAGGTGAAGGCAGCAGGAGCAGTGTTGTACGTCCCCGCCCTACAAGCTCCGCCGCCGCTGCCGCTGCCGCTGCCGCTTCCACCGCCGCTGTCCCTGCCGCCGCCACCACCAACACCACCGCCGCCGCCGCTGCCGCTGCGGTACTCCGAACGGAGCCCCCGTTGAGGCTGCATGGAGCTGGATAGGGCGGGGTGCGGCGGAGTAGGCATAAAGTTGCCGACAGAACCGGGTGGACTTCCACCGCTTCGCGGTTGCTGTTGTTGTTGTTGCTGCTGCTGCTGCTCCTCATCCTGCTGTCGCTGAGCTGGTGTCGGCGGCAGCTGATGCAACTGCAGCAGCTGTTGTTGCGGGGATGGCTGCTGAGGGTGAGAGCCGTATGATACTTCTGCATGGCACGGCAGCGAGTTGTCGCGACCAAGCTGGCTAGCCCTATCGCCGTACGCGACAGCGACGGCGGCGGGCGCAATGCTGGATGTGATCAGAGGGCCGCTGGCGGCAGGCCTGCCAGCCAGAGGCGACCCAGCGCTGTTTCCTGACCCTGCCTCCAAGTCCACCGATGGCTCCAACTTGGCGGCACCTGGATAAGGCTGACCCAGGGTTTGACTAGCCCGTGAAGCCGCCGCCACCGCGGTGGCGACGGTGGCAGCGGCGGCGGCTCCGCCGCCGCTTCCGCTACCCCGGCCGCAACTGTCGTCAACGTCCCCCGTACAGCTTTCCCGGCACTTCAATTCGACATTATCGACGGCGGGGACGCCCCGGCCGCTGACTCCTGAAGCCCCCAGCAGCAGCCTGGGGACGACCTGCTCGCTGGCCCCCAGGTGGGGCAGGTGGCTCTGGTGGTTCTCCACGTCATGCAACGGTGTCGTACAGATTTCTAAGAGGCGACCAGGGCTTATGCACTCCATGACAACCTCCTCAGATGCCTCGGGCTGCTGCTGCGGTTGCTGCTGCTGCTGCTGCTGCGACGCCGCGACGCCGGTACGACCGGCAGGGCGGCAGCCTTTTTGCTGCTGCTGCTGCTGCCGTTGTTCCTTCTCCTCCTCTTGATCTTCCTGTTGTTGCTGTGGCACTGGCAGTGCTGGCGACTGCGGTGATCGGTCATGCCAGGTCTCCTGCTCGACGCTCTGGGCCACCTGCGGCGGCTGCTGCTGCTGCTGCTGCTGCCGTTGAGATGAAGATGGGGGCTGCGCCGACAGCTGTAGCGGCAATTCCTGCTGCGGCTGTGGCAACGGCGGTGAAGGTGACATCGGGAGCGGTGAGGCAATCTGCTGTGTCTGGTGCAACGCCGTTTGCTGCTGCGGCGGCAGCGTCCTCGTCAGCTGTGCCAACGGCGGCTGCTGCTGCTGCTGCTCCTGCTCTGGCGCCAGAAGCTTCTGCTGCTGCTGCTGCTCTCCGTCCTTTTGTTGCTGTTGCTTCTCCTCATCGTCCTCGATAGTCGCGATGCACAGGACATCAATGTCGGTGACCCCGGTCTCCTCCTTGAGCCGGTCCGCCAGTTTGGATTGCTCGCTGAGGAGCTCCTGTTGGCGACTGCTCCAGGTACCCAACTCAGAGCGAAGCTCTTCCACCTCCCGCATGAGCGTGTCTACTAGGTTTTCCAGGACGCCCACCTATTGGCGGTGCCCGGAAGTTGTGGGAAGTTTGTGTCCGGGTTAGAGGGGGAACCATAATGCCATCATTTCGCAGAGGGAAGGCAGCGTAAAGTAAGTGGAGAGTCCCTTTACTTCAATCCCAGGTAAGGGAGGGGGATATTGCGACCATGCCTCTAGAATAATGGAAGGAAGGACTCCCGTATATGGCGATTGGGGACCGGCGATGAAGTGGTTATTGGAGCCCGATGGGGTAATGTCGTATGCAGGGAACATCATGCGTGGTCATGAACAAAAGGGAAATCGGGTGGACGTTTAGAAAGGTATTTAGTCTCGTTCTGCCCGTATTGTGGTGGGCTGTAGTACGTGGCTGGTTTGGGGCCGGTGTGAGCGCAGTGACGAGACTATGAAGCGGAACCTTAGCCTGATGGGATTTTCTGACGCAACTACCCGTTATGTTGATGTTAGCTTAGCGGTATTGATATGAAAGGCTGTTCTGCTGGTATCACGGCGATGTGCGGCGGCGTACCTACGGCAAGTGCCAAAGCGGCGACCAAGCCAACAATTTTGAAACATATAGTGATGAATATACATGAAACCATGTGATACATGCATTCTGGGCAGAACCCGCCAAGTTTCCTGCTGTGCGTATAGCAACCGCTCGGATGCAAGCGCACCTCTTCTAACCGCTTAACCCTGCTTCGCTGGGCACTCCTCCTGTTAGCCAGCAGGCGTCTACGTCGTCTTTCGTCTTCTTCTGACGTCCCCTCGGACGTAGTTCTCCCAGCCTTAGGCCTCTTTCCGCTCCGCGCGTGCATCTCCGGGCTTGGCGACGGACTGCCGCCACGCCTGCGATCGGCTGCCATATCGGCTTCATAGTCGCTATCGACATAGGACGCCTCTCGTCGTCGCACTCGGCTCATTTTGTACACGCGGCGTGCGCCGGTTGGTGGTTATGTATCCAAAGTTTGTAGCCTATGGAACGCCCATAACCACAGATGTGTAGCTAATTAATTTATTTATTATAAAGAACTGTTCTGAACGTAAAGCTTCACGGTTGAGAGGATACGCCGGTGAGCGTCAAAAATGCCTAAATCGTGTGTCTTGGAGTCAAGGATTTGCAGGATGAAGCAGTGATAGCCGATAAATGATTTATGTATCGTTATACATACTGAGGTTGCCTTAAGATGCGCAATAGCGCTAGTATGCGACGGTTTCTGCCCGCCGCCCGCCCACCCATGCATGGAAAAGCGGTTACGCATTACGTCCCTAAGAGCTGGTAGACAAAAGGTGTGTGGTTGTAAATCACTTGTCGCCTGTGACATCTGTGGTCGCTCAGTGTGCGCCGAGGACTTGCAAGCGACAAAGAGTGGCCAAACCGCATTGCGTCTGCAGCAGCGGCACGCTTCTTAGGATACGGATTTGCGCTGTCTCCTGAAGCTTATCATTTATTTAAGATTTTTAGGGTGTCGCTGTTACAACTGACATCATCAGCTCTTTTTTTCCACGATCACAGAAGGCTATCAGACCATTGCATTAAACCGTGTTTGCAACAACCTTTACAGTTGTGATGACAGGAGCCAGCAGGTCTTAAGGAAAAGAAAAATCTCCACGCACAGGATCCACAGGCAATATAAAGATCCCTCTCCTCGGGCATTAAAACTACGCGTTGTCGCAACTGTGTAGTCATTACGTCAGCTTAGTCGAGGTGCATCCCGCCAGCACCAGCCCGAAGGCCTCGCTCAGCAACCAACATGACGACCACCACTCCTTCAAAAAAGCCTGCGAAGCAAACCCAAATCTCCACGTCCAGCGCCCCGTACCCCACAGTCTACCGAGCCACGAACTCCAGCGCCACAGCGACTTGATGGCTACCGCTCAAGCCGTGCCACGGAGGTGGCTACCCAAACCGGCTGCTAGTACAGCACCTCACCTCGCAGCAAGGCACCAGATAGCATATTCCCCACATATCCTCAAGTTCCTGAAAAGCCACAGGCACGTGGCCTCACTACTGCGGCACCAAAGCACGGCCCTGGACGGGTGCTGTCAAGGGTGCCAGACGTTTTCAAGACCCGCCGTTGCAACCCGGAGCCGACCTACATACAGCCCCGGCCGGACCGCCTGCTCCCACTGCATTCCGCAGCACTGTCCGAACGCACAATCTCAAACGGCACAAGACAGAAGACAAGTACGCAGTCGCAGCGACGAACTCCCCCTCAAGATCCACACGCACCCACAAGCCATAGCGCACTCGTACTCTCACGCACGTACATACTACGAGTCAACTACCGCCAGCCCTTCCTCATCGCAGCGCCTCACCGTAGACGTGCAAACCAGACGTGACCAGACGTGCATCCATTCCGCAGTCACCCCACACACACTCCATCTCGTCCCGTACATCTGAACAGCCCGTCATCAATTGCCCAGCCCAGCCCTGCCTTAAAGGCCCTGGACCCCAATACACACTCCCCAAAGGGCGAGGGGCCCCCTGACCACGACAACATCATTGCGACGCTGGTGCCCCGTGGATTTGCGCCACCAGCAGCGAGTGCACTGCCTTCGCCAGCTCCGGCTGCTCCGAAACCACCGTCACGCGGAACTGCGCGCGATTCTGCGGATTAGCTTCCACGCGGCAGCAGCAGATAACGCTGCGCTGCGCCTCCTGAGGGCCACAGCCCCAGTAAGCGGCTCCTGCCTCGTTGTGTGGAGAAGGATCCAGGTAGCCGTGCTCCACACCCAAGTGAAACAGCCGCATCAGGCTCTGCGCACGGCGCCGGGTGGAGCCGAAACGGGGGAGAGGGGAAAGACGTTGCAATGCTGCAGGCAGAACACAATTAGGTGTCAGGCAAGCCACGCTGTTACGACGTGTTCTTGCCGTTATCCTAGTTGCCACGGCGGCGGGGCCTGCTGCCTCAGTGAACTTGGGGCCCCGCACCCATCCAGCCACCCACCTGCACGGACTCCGGCGACAGCGGCCCCCCCATGCCCCGGTCCACCATCTCCTGGGCCTTGCAGTGCGGCGGTGCGGAGCGCCAATGTTCAAAGAAGGTCTCCTTGGGGACGTGCGGCTCCGGAACCATGAACTTGTGCATGGCCGTCGGCATACGCAGCTGCAGGCCAGTCAGCGCGGGCGCACCGCCCACCGCGTAGGACAGCGACAGCACAGGCGGCTCCGCGAAGGGTGCTAGGCACGTGAGCGTGAGCGGGACCTGCACCTGCTGCTTGGTCTCGAGCACCATTGGAACAGGCGCCACGATTACCTGCCGCAATGCGAACAAAAGAGTGGAAGGAATATGGGAACAGAAAGAGAGAGAGAAAGCAGCGCTAAACGCCTCGAAGGAGTACGGGACGGTGTATAACCATGTAAGAGACGAGCGCGTTTGTTACCCACCAACATGCAGCCTGCTCGCCCATCCATCCCCCAACGCGCCTACCGGTCCATTCAACCACCCAAATCACATTCAGCACACCCAGCCCTGCCCCGTCCTCTCACATTACCCTAAGCCTCCACCTACAAAAATCCACGGCTCGGTCTCGTCCTGGCTAGCATTCTCCCTCCCTCCCTTCCTCCCTTCCCGCCACCCCTATCCATCTTCCAGCCATCCACCGGCCATACCTGGACTCCTGGCGAGGGCGCTGCCACGGCGAGTGCAACACCCGTGAGCTGGGCCGACGCATGTTTGTTGCCCAGGTAGAGCACCACGGTGCCCCGGCCCCGAGTGTACTGCGACTGGAGCCCCACTTGCAGGTACTGGTCCTCGTAAAGGATGCCGCGTTCCTGCGGAAACATTGTGCGGAAGGTTCCTTTTTTCCTTTCTAATTTGGGCGAACACAATCCAGACCCGAGGGAACCCTACGGGAAAGGAAGCCAGAAGAACATAGCCAGGAAGCCAGTGCAGCAGTTTCTTCATCGCATGTTAGCGTCGGCTTGGGTAACGCCGCGAGCCAGGGCAATCAAAAGGCGGGGAATGGTAACTGGTGTAGACTGCAGGGGCTACTTAAAGCTTGGGAAGGGCATGTAATACAGGCCCCAAGTGCACCGCAGGGTGAGAAAGCTCTCCTGTGCCAAAACTGACCATGGGCAGAGGCTACAGCTGCGTCCCGAAAACACATCGGTTTAAAAGGTGGCCAGTAATGGAATGGCCAAACACGCACCTTGAGAATGAGGGCAGAGTACCAAGCTTCCACATCACCCACAGGTCGCGGTGGGTCCACAGGCGGCGGCTGTGGCGGCATGGTAACGGCAACTGGGGGCGGTGGCGGCGGCGGCGCAAAGTGGCTGTCCCCAAATGGATCCGCGCCAGCAGCAACAGGAGCCGCCAGCGGCGCTGCAGCCGGCAGTACAGCTGCCGGCAGATGTGCTGGTGGTGGCGGCGCAGCTGCGGCAGCTGCAAATGGATTGGCAGCAAAGGGGTTGGCTGTGCCCACCGCGGCGTATGGCATCGACGGGAACGCCGCCGCGGCTGAAGGCACCATTCCTGGGAAGCCAGGCATCGCGCCAGGGTAGATACCTGGCGCTGTGGGCACAGGGCCACCAGTCACACCCACCGGCGCTGATGGAACGCTGGGGAATGGCAGGGCAGGACTCGGCGCTGGCTGCGCCGCTGCCGGCGGCGGCGCCGTCGCTGTCATCACTGCGGGAGTGGGCGCGCTGCTACTGCTGATAACATCACCGAAAAGGTCGGACAACAAGTCGACAGGTGCCTTGGGTGGTGGTGGAGGCGGCGCAGCCGCCGCGGCAACGCCATTGGCTGGCGCAGTCGCCGCCGCGGCAGCAGCGGCGGAGCCTGAATCCAAGGACAGAAGATCAGCTGCTGCTGGCGTTGCCCCGGGGCCGCTAGGCATGGGCACGGACAGCAGAGGCGCTGGGTTGGCGCCGGCGTTGGTGGAGGGCAGGTCAGCTGCGGAGCCGCCAGGGTCGCCTGCCCCACCAGCTCCCACCTCACCCTGCAGCCGCTTCATGAGTGACGACTCCCGAATAGTCCAGGCCGGCATGGGCAGGATATAGTTTGCGGCGGCGGCGGGGTTCGAGGCGAGGGCCTGCTGCGGGCAGGTCGGCGGCGGCAGCGAAGGAGGAGGAACCGCGGCCCAAGGAGAGCATGAACATGGCGTTGGCTTTACAATCTTTACGGAGGGAGGCCATGCTACGCGTATAGGACAGCGCAATGAAATACTGGCCTCCGCATAAGCGGTTGGGATGTGTACGAGTATGTTTCCCGGTGGCCCTGTGGTCCGCGCTGCGGGGAATGGTATGGGAGCGCTGTATGAGCGGACCGGGATAATAAAACCGCCACGGCCTCACCACAGTAGTTCAGGGTGTGCGACGTATGTATGTATGTATGTATGTATGTATGTATGTATGTATGTATGTATGTATGTATGCATGCATACATGTATATATGTATGTATGTATATGTGTTTCAAATTTGTTACGTGTACTTAAGGAAAAGACTCCAGGAGAACGCGACAAGCCGCTTCTCCATGGGCTGCGTTCCCCAGAAAATTCCCCGCACACTCGCGCACCAGATACTCCGTGGCCCGCTGCTGCAGCTCCGCATCCATGAAGCGCTTGTACCGCTCAAAAAGGTCGCGCACTTCGCGGGACAGAGTGGCGTTGCTGGGATCCAGCAAATAAATCTACCGGGGACGGCGCGGAAGCGACACGGCGAAACCGAAACACACATACACACAGAATGAAGAGTGTGATGGGCTCAACCAAGCAATTTGATAGCGCGGCTCATCCCAATAAATAAAAATACAACGGAGTGCAAGGGAGGGATTGCAAGACTGGTTTGGAAATGAGCGCTGCCAGGATAGCGGCGGCGTTACTGGCGGGAATGTCGTTGTGAATCGCCTTTCCCACGGCGGCCACCATTTCCCACCACACCCTGTTACCGCTGGGCCGAGTTGGACCGGCCTACATACCGCCAGCCCAGCCCCGTCACCAGTGAACACCCCTGCCATGCACCTTGAGCAACGCCGTCATGAGTAGCCCCTTGGTGGGAGGCAAGGCGGCAGGGAAGGCCGCGAACAGCAACCGGAATTGCTCTGCGGGCGGAACCTCGGCACGGATTAGCCGGCCGTACTCGCCCAGGATGTAGGCCGCGGTGCACACCATCGACTGAGGAGTAGCAGGTGGAGGGTGCCGAGCCGGGGACCCGGTCAGGGAGGGAGGAAAGCTCTGAAAGGCGATGTAGATAAGGTGCAGATAGGTAGGTGCGGAGGGGTGAGAGGCGCGCCCAAAATGTGAAATGCAGCGTGTCAATGTCCGGGGTGGAAAAGCGCGTACATAAGTGCAAGCGGACGCGAAGGCACGGAGCTGGATGGCCAAAGGCACACAAGGATTCGTGTGGCCGAAATGAATGGCGATCTTGGCGAGGCAGGTGCAGGGCAATCCTAGGACACCTTTGGACCCAGACAAAGGCGAGTAGAGGAGCCCGCAGCCCGCCAGGGAGGTGAAGTGAGGTGAAAGGAGGGGAGAGATGGGCAGGATGGGGGCAGGATGGCCAGTCCTTACCTCATGTGCAGCACCCCGCTTGAGTGCCTCTGCGACATTGCGCGCTGCGTACTCCTGCATCACGGGGTTGTTCGTGACCATTTGCACGGCGCGGTGCCAGATCTCATCCGAAACGAAGTCCCCCGATCGCTCCAGCAGCTGAAGCACCACGTCCATGTACCTGTCGGACAGAGTGGCAGCGGTCCCGAAGCTATCACACTATTGCAGAGCACGGTCACGTACGGGCAATGCACTTGCCAGGACACAGCAACCAAATGGAGTTAGGAGGAGTTAGGAGGAGCAAGCGCGCGGCACGGGAAAAGTGCCCAGAGATGTAAGGTCTGCGGTATGTAAGTCGCCTTAAGTGCATGCATGTGTTCAGAGGGCTTGGCTATGCACTTCTGCAGATGGAAAAGCTAGGCTGGCCGGGTGGCTGGCAGTATTACGGGCGCACTATGCTCCGTGCAATCTCACCATTGCATGCTAGGTGCGTACTTCTCGGCCAGGATGGCGATCTGCGGAATTTAAGGACACGAGCCAAGGGCAAGAGCAGCAGACAACGCTGGTAAGGACACATCGACATAACACAAGGAAAACTCTGGACTGTAGCCCAAAGCAGCACACATGTGTACACTACCCAACTCCTCCTAAGCCCCGACCTGGCCCCACCACATCACTCCAACCCCACAGCTCCCCCATCCAACCCGCATCCATCCCTCCATCCTGCAATCCACCTTGAGCACCAGCTGCTCTCGCACGCTGAAGTCCGCTGTCACCAGGTACTTGAGTAACTCGGATACCACTTGGGTTGCTGAATGCGCGTCGCACATGGCGAACAGCAGGTCCAACGCACGCCGCCGGATGGACACGTCCGGATCCTGAGAGGTGGGCAGGAAGCGGGAAGGTGGTGCCCAAAGGCACATGTGAGCGCGGCGTCGATTACTCGATTTGGGTTGATATGGCCGGCCGGGTCCTTTCTCTATGGGGCCGGCCAGCCAACGCAGTCATGCACATCATTGCGCTTCGGCGGGCTGGCACTCTGTCCTGGTGCCGCACGTTGTTGGCACGTTAGGTCAGAATGGATTCTTGTCCAGTGGACAAATGCGCAGCGTATCTTCTCAGACCCTCGGCGCCTCGTATGGCAAGGTAACAACCATGTCACATCCACGCGATCCTCGAGTACCCAGCCATCCAAACGCCCAATCGGAGCCCATAATCAAGCCATTCGTCATGGCACGCAGTCCCATTACAGCTTTCTAGTACATTGCGGCCCTCTCCCATTCTCGCCGTGCAGGCATGCCGCACCTTGAGGCTAGCCATGACCGTTTCCCGGTACCCTCGAGCAGCTTGCAGCACCTCGGGCATGGTGCTGGACAGCCGAGCAAGCGAGTCCAACGCCAGGTACTTGGCATTCGCGTCCTGAGGCAAGCAATTGAACCCACAACGCACTCCGTCAGGTATGACCATACGGGATAACCCGCTCGCCGCTGTGCACGCATTCTCAAAGCATCGGGTTTGGCCTTTTGCCTCCTAAAAGCTGCTACCGATCAAGCTACCGGTATAAGCTCCACCAGAAACTGGTGCGCACGCAGCTAATGGTATTATTTGTTGTGGGAGCTGCGCAATCCCAAGCGACCGTCCCGCCCTCGTCCCGCCCTTCCCGTCACAAGTCCCAGGCGCAGCAGTCCGTCCCCAAAGCGACTGTCCCACCGCCGCGTCCACAGTCCGTCCGATCTCCCCTACCGTGGGCCACCAAGGGAAGGGTCTCCGCGATCTGTATCAAAACCAAAACTTCCAGCCGTCCCACGATTGCGCAATGAACCTCTAGCATCCTGAAGCCATTACCTGATGAGCTCCCGTGCCTTGCCCCAATACGTGCACATGCACAGCTAAGTCTCAGGGGGGGTATCATCCCAGAATCCCACATTCCAGAAGCATCCTCCGTCCGCTCACCTTGCCAGCCAGGTATTTGCCCAAGAGGATCAGGCAAGAGTCCAGCGTCGCCTTGTCGCTGGCTGAGTCGCCCCCGACCGTGGCGCTGCTGGCAGCCGCGTGGTGCAGCGCCAGGGCCAGCGCCTCGAAGAGAATGGCGTTCAGCGCATTTGCCTTGTTGGGATTAGCGTTCTTTGCCGCCTCGCCGCTTGCTGCGAAGGACGCGGAATGCAGCAGGTTGGGCCGCGGCGACAAGGGCGGAGGCATGAATGAGCTTGTGTTGCGCCGCGCAGCGAATTGCCACAAGAGGCGCTCTAGCATACAACGACCCTCTATAAAACCTACATCCCTGCCGAACCGCTGTATTGGATGTGATGAATGCACCCGTGACCAACTTGCGCCATTTCGCCTCCTCCCGCGCTTGTTACCCCAGTTCACCATTTCTTACTCAGCCATACATTCATTTCTATCCCAGCTTCCCTAGCCTGTCACAGCTCAACCAACCCCTGAAGCCGAGCGGGCCCACGATCGCTGCGCCCCGAATCTTCTAAAGATCCCCCAAACACGCCCAGTACTAGGCCCCACTCACTGACTGCAATGATGTTCTGCAGCACGTCGTGGAGCGTCTTCCGCTCCGACGTGCTATCGGGCGGCGGGAACAGCTGAAGCGCCCGCAGACAGCGAGCCTACACAGGGGGAGACACGGCAATGGATGCAATCCGGTGTCCTGCACAGCTTCTAAGAGGGGCATCCCAAAGGTTCCTGCTGTTAGGTCCTGCTCAGGGTTCGCCGAACCTTTGCGCCGAACCTCCGTGCCCGAGCATGGAGAACCATCCCGTAGCTTGATACAATGGCGTGCTATGACCTCCGAGCATCCTTAAATAACGGCGAGCTTACGACTATAGCCGGTGATCATGTATGTGCTGCACCTGATGCACACATGGTGCAGGTAACACATGGTGCAGGTACCACAGGCTGACTGAACGAACCTTACCTGTAGCCACGGCGAAGGGATGCCATAGTACAGGTACTCCGGCGGAATGCGCTCACGCTCCCGAACTAGGCGCTCCAGGATTTTGATGACGCGGCCCTGGCACGTCTCATAGCCGCCTGCCGGGGCACCAGCGTGGCGAATTAAGGGTCATAGCCATACGCAAGGCACGAATGGGACGTCCGAGCAAGGCAGCATTGCCAGGCTGCGGCGCGCCATAGCCTAACCGCACACTTCACACCGCAAGCTGTTGGCCTACACTCCCAGACAAGGCGCGCGGTCTCTACTTTGGAATCAGGAGAAGTTTAATAAAGACGTCGTGACTGCGGATGGCAACCTTAACGCGGCAGCCTTAACCGCTTTGGAAAGTTTTGAAGGGGGAAACCGCTTCCTTCGTGTGAAGGGCTGAGACCCATGCAACCCAAGACATTCGGGTAACCTCGCGTACTGAGCCAAGCCCCCGAAAGTACCCGGGACAAGACATATACCATGCGCTGTCCGAAAGCAGCAACATGACACGTTGTCATTTGCCACCGACGCCCAGGGCCGCTCGGAGTGCATTGCAGGCGCAATGGTAGACCCGTCCCACGACTGCCACAGGCCCATGGTGCTTCCACCCTACCGCACACAACAGGCCAAATTCTGCACTGTCCTACTCACTCGTGCCAGACTGCTGCACCACGCCGTGGAGAAGCGTCACCGCACAAAGCAGCAGCCCAAGGTCCCTCTCCTCCAGCAGCGCGCCCATAGCGGGGCTAAACGTGTCCGCGGAGACCATCAGTGGCGCGTCCGGGGGCGTCTTTCGCAATAGTCGAAGCAGGCAGAGCGATGCACGCTTTTTGATGAGTGGCCGCGTTGCACCGCTCGTCTGCCACAGTGAGGGGCCACGACAGGGAGCGAAATGAGGCACACACCGCCACGAGCTTGCATCACATGCAACACCCATCGCACAGCTTAGTAAAGGGGCCCGACATGAACATTACTTGGGAATAATTGGTGGCCTGGCAGCAAATGCCGTAGTAAAAACACATGGTTGACAACTAATTGGTGCGCAATGTCGGTCAATGAACGATCTTTATGCTCTGTACCGAGGCCCTCTTGTCCAGGGTTTACCCCTTAGCTATACTGTGCAGCGGTGTCTCTGTCCGGTAACTGGTTTTGCGCGGTTTGGCTTTGGCCCCCACAGTGTAGGGTGAGGCTTATGCACTGACAGTCCGTTGGGATCCACTGTACCCGCATTCATTCATACAACATGACCAGTTAGCCCCATGCCACATACCAGCAGCTTCAGGACATCGACAGTCAGCGCTTCAGCCATCTCGGCGCCTCCAACTGCGTAAGGGAAGAAGGGATGGGTGACAGTTGGTAGACAGGGAAGGAGAGGAGGCTTCCCCGCAAATGAGTCCTCCCTGAATCCCCGCCTCACTGTTGCCCACGAAGCTCAGTGCCAGCGCCTGGAAAGCTTCATTACGGCTCGTGAGGTCCATGTGGATGGCGTTGATGGCCAGGCGCAGAAACTCGTCATTCTGCACACCAGCGACACTCAAGTGTCACCAGATTATTATTATTGAGAAACACCATTCCAAGCACATTATCAAAAACACCCCTATGTCTGGAAGCTTTCCAGATACACCCAACTGCTAACCTCTTGAAGGAGAAGAGAACAGGCCATGTAACCGACTTGTTTATCAGAGTACTTCGGCATTGGAATCAGGTCACAAGCCTGCTTATGGCCGAAGTCAATGTCAAAGCCCAGCATATAAATGTAGAGCAACTTCCATATGTATTTGCGCCGATCATAGCCTGCAATCGGGGCGCGGAAGTTATCAGGGCGCGCCAGGGGGTACTGTTCGGATGCTGCTGTGCAAAGCTCCTCCAATTCTCACCCGAAAGTGCCTTGTCCTCTCCAAACTTCGCCCTGATCTTCGCCAGCTCCTTTTCCACACGCTTCTGCTCTTGTTCCTTGTTTTGGCAAGCTCTGATATCCGATATGAACGCCTGCCGCATAACCATGGGCCCGACATCCTTGAACTGATCGCCAGCTGTGCTACGCTATGCTCTGCAACTGGGCCTCGCAATACCTGAAGTCCCCGCATGTACGCAGTTTTCGACATGGCTCCGGTACTCTAGCGGGCCACAGGCCCGCTCAAATAAGGTGCGCGACGTCAAAGGTAAATGTCGACAGGTGGGTCAGCCAGACACCTGGCTACCGGAAGCGTCTTCCGGAAATTTTTCAAAGTTATTGAAGGGACGGAACAAAGTTTCCATGCGGTTGTTCGTACATATGCGAGTACGGCTAATGAGATACGTCTTGCGCCAAGTACGAAAGCCTGGTCACGATTGCATGGGGGACACGCTTACATACCCTTCTTCTCAAGAGGACGTGCCACTAGCATGTTAATATTGCATGGTAGCACGATCATGCTGCAGAGAAAGTCAGGGTGTCGTATGGAGGGCCGTGCCTGGGCCCTCATCAAGGATCGCAGAAGACGCCCGACAAGGAAAGCACTTGCCCTGAAGGTCTTGAGCAAAGCACAACCCGTGGATCAAGGCAAAGGTAATGAAGGTTGCGAGCAGGAAGATAAAACCCGTGCAACCGTAAGCAATTATCCTTATGTAATCAGACGGGGCAAGCATCGCTGGCGTGTGCTACAGCGACGGCACACTCCACATCGACACCTAGGGTGGCGTGCAGTGCTTCCACTGGTCGCACCGCAATAACTGATGTCTCCTTTTACGGCCCTTAAACCATAGGACTCCTAGCGTTTTTATGCGGCACGTGAAGCTTCCCAAATGTAACTCCTGACGTGAGGTTGAGTTTACCTCACCATTCGAGATCCAGCATCTGTGGACGCCCTGAGAACATAACAGCTATAGCTCCTCGCTTTAATGTCATACAACGCAAAAAGCACTGAAGCGACATTAAAGGGTTGCAGCTAACTAAATGGAAGACGTCGGTGGTGCACGGTGGTTATGCAGGTTGGTTTTTTAGGATTAGTTTCCAACTAGAGCTTGTTTCCCCTTTCCTCGGTCGCGCTCTTCCTTCGTTCCTTTTAACCGTCCTGTCAGAGGAAACTGCTGTGCAGCTCGGCTAGCTCTTTCCATCGGCAATGGTGGCGGCGACTGGTCGCAGCTCTCTGGCGCGGGCTGATCCTGGCTCTGTGTGGATTATGTGACATGGGTTTGACCCATCGCGCATGCTATCCCAGTCCGCTTTCCCGCCCGCTTTGCAAAAACTGCTCCCAAACGCTCCGGCTATGGATAAGCGCAGTTTGCCGTGCATATCCCTTACCCGTATGACAATTGCATCGGATTTGAGACATCGAGAGTCGAAGTCCTGCAAAGTTTTGATGTATGCAACCGACTAGGTAACTGTTATGTTCTTCACAGGACTCTCCCCTGGACGCAAAGTGGAAGACTATCAGGAGATTGTTGTTGCAAAATACGTGGCTCTTGTTGTCGTTTGGCTGGTGAATTTGCCGTGTCAGGCAACGCTGATCTTTAAGCAGCCCCTCGCACAAATGAGTCCGGTCGTACTCTGCCGAATAAACGGGACGTACATCGTCCAAAAAGCCAGGAGCGAATTTCACCGCGCGGATGCGCGCGTGCGATTCGCAAAATGCGCCTGTAGAAGTGTATATAAATTTTCTTGGCGGAAAAGGCCGAGGTGCGCCAGCGCGTTGCGCAGGTGGGCATGTTGGCCACAGCCGCACGCGGCATGCAGGCTGGACTATTGCGTGGCTGCTTTGCAGTAACTGAAAGCACCGAAAGCCTACGTCGTAGCTTGCAAGACTGGGCTCGTGAAACTGCCGCGGGAAGAGGAAGCGTCTGGCGAAGAGGCAATTGTGTGCAAGCAAACGGTCGCGTTTTTGGTAGTGCAACGTATACAGCACCTTGTTCAGAGTAAAGTCAAATTACAAAGTTGCGCAAAGTATAACATACATAAACTTAATTAAACATAAGAACAGATAAGACGTTTAGAGCCTTGTCGGTGACATGGACACCGCTGTTGGCTCCCTCAACGCAATCACCAGGCCCCCAGTGACCGCGTGGGGACGATGGCGCCGCGGACGGCTTGGCGTGTTACGTCACCCAGCGGCAAGCTTCGTTGCCCCAGCCTCGTTGGCAGGCAGCTACTGAGGTGCGGGCGCACGAGCACCGCACTGCTGCTCACATCGCCACTGCGACGCTCATGTGAAACGCGGCGGCGGCCGTGGCGGCGGCTGTCCTGCATGCTGCTGGCGCTGCTGGTGTTCACGCCGCTGCTGGCGTTGCTCATGTTAGTGCTCTCACTGAAGCCGCTGATGGGCACCTCCAGCGCATACTGCGGCACGTCGCTCAGAGGCCCCGTGCCCGACGTCTTCTGAGCGCCAATGCGGTCGAACATGTCAGGCGGCATGGCAAAGAGCAGCGCCGCCTTCAGACGTCGTATTGTCGGCGGCAGCAGTTTCAGTTGCGCCGCCAGCGCATTTTCCTTTACCGAATGCAAAGCCGCCACGGTAAGCTGGATCATCAGCAGCCGCTTGGAAGGTGTCAAGACGCCTCCGTGGGCTGGCAGCACCACCATGCAGTCAATGGCCGGGAAGTTCTTCCGTGCCGGAATGACCAGGCAGCCGGCCTCTGCTGCTGAAAGGTCTTGCACATCTAGGCGCGACATCTGCGGCAGCACCACCTCATGTGGCACGCCGCCGCCAATTGCGGAGGCAGTCAGGTTCCTGACCCGGAACGTGCCCCCGCATGCGAGCACCTGAAACGCGTAAGCCTGGAAAAGCAGGCCCCGCAGGCTGGCCGCCATCGGCTCGCCCGCGGACCAGGTCAGGAATTGCCGCAGAGCCACCATGCCGTTCGCCTACGAGCATAATAACAAGATTACCAAGGGCTCCATGCTATGCGCAGCTGATTATCGATACTAGCATGCATGCATGAATCTTGCCTGAAGCTGCTCGGTCACACGGTTGACGATCTCATCCGAGCCAAACACCACCTCGGTCTTCTCACATGCGTCGTCCACCTGCACATCAGGTGGCGGGCGTGAGCGTGTTATGGGGTTCAAACAAGGATGATCACGGGGCAAGTAACCAGCGCGGCATCACCTGAACATGCAGTAGTTTGTGGCTCGCGTCAGGGGCGGCCTGGATCTGCTTCGCCGAGCGCAGCACAGCAAGTAGCTCACCGGACCCCAGGGCGTCGTCCAGCTTCCGCTGCATTGACGGGTTCTGGAGGACGCAGACCAGCAAGATGGGAGCAGCAAACATTGGTTGATGGCAAACATACTCTTGTCCAACCGGCTCTTTCCCCACATTGTCAGATAGCAGATCAGGCATCGTTTGATATATATATGCCGCACACACATCCACAAGCCTTCCTACCTTGGCATTCTCCAATACGTAGCGCGGAATTCCGCCCCACCTCTTGTACAGCCGCTCCACCATCTCGACGTCAACTTGTGCCTGGTACGGCTCGAGGCGGCGTGCGGCGTGAATCTCCTCCAGGCTCCACGGACCCATCCACAGCTCCAGGTGTTTGGTCTTGGCAAATCTCTGCTAGGCACGGATTCCGCCAGCGAGTGAGCGCCTCAAACTTTGACAACAGACGAATCATTTGTTGTCAATTGAGCATCGTCAACAGCCTTACGTTGTAGGCGCCAGCGCGCGGCGAGGAGACCATAACTGTTATAGCGTTCGCCTTCGCGAATTCAATGGAGTCGCACAGCAGCCTGTAGATGGAGCATAGGAAAGGGTGGTTCTGTCCTGTTTTGTGCATCGGGTAGGCGTGGCAACGTGGAACACCAGCACGTCCCGAATGCAACCAAGCTAGGAATTCTCACCACGTATTGGGGTCGTTGATTTCCTCCTCAAACTCGATGGGGTTGTCCGCCTTAAACACGCCGCCGCCGTCACCGTCAGCGGCCGCGGGCTGAAACAGCAGCGCGCTGGGGTAGGTAAGGTCAGAAAGGAGCACCACGGTGCGCTGCATGCAGGCCAGGCGGTGGAGCAAGTCCAGCAGGAACATGCTCTTGCCGATGCCTGGCGGTATGTCAAGAGTATCGCATGAAGTGCAGCAGGGCCATAATGCAGGGGTCGCAACACCATGCACGGGGGCGGATGTGAGTGCCAGCGGCAGATGTGAGTGCCAGCGGTCCTCCTGACAACACACCTGGTGTCCCCAGGATGAGGAAGCGCCGGATGTCTGATGAGAGCTCGTTGATGCAGTCCTGCATCTTGGTAAAAGCAGTGTCGTAGCACGTGCGCCGCAGCAGCTGGTGCAGTTTTGATGTGCTGGCCGGGAAGCACACGCCCGGCGGCAGCGAGAGCACCTGCTGGTCGTCCACCGTCATCAGCTCAGCCGCAGTCAGATTCTTCCAGAACATCTGTAGATCAGGGCCTGCATAGCAGAAGGCATTGGAATATTAATGGTTGCCTCACAGTGCTCATCACTCCCGGTAACATCAAATCCTTGTCAGGTGGTCCACAACTGCTCAAAGCCTGCTCCCGGCAACATGAAAGCCTGTCATCCCGTGTCACGCCCTAGCATAGCCTGGGGCCCAATGATTGGAAGGCGATAGGCCTGCGTACCTGCTGGCGAGTGAGACCGCCGGCTCTGCTCTGCGTGGTTACATTTACCGAGGGCAGGTGCAGGCCTTCATCAGCTTACCCTCCTTGTGTCCAGGGTCGCTTGTCATTATGACCGGCGCTACCAGGTGAGCCTCAACAGTTCACACGGAAAGTAACTCACTGGCAGCCGCAGACTCCGCGCGGCCTGTAGGGGGAAGCATGCAAGAAAGGACAAACATTCTTGGAGAACTTGGGCTCGGGAAAATCCAAACAACCGCAATCCGCTGTGAGGACTTGGCAGTCCGCAGCAATCGGTTGCAACATGAACACACAGCGGCATATGTAGATCCCCATGGCCAGCCTGCTTCGCTCCCCGCTCCGGGCTTGCACTCAGGTGGACCTCAGTTGCAAGTTCCTTAGGGTTTTAGGCGCGCACTAGCTCTTCGGAACCAAGCCAAACACGATCCCAAACACGCTTTCGGGATATGCATCGGTTCGACAGCTCAATCGTCCTAGCTTTTCGTATAAGGGCATCCACTAGCTTCAGCTGTTTGGCCGCTGTGCCACCGCGAAGTAGCACAAGTTCTAGAGGTGTAGCCTTGCTAAAAGCTTCTGCAGCAGCCAGCTGCCAAGCCTCATCCTTGTCGAAAGCTTCCGAAAGACTGACTATCAGCTGGGCGTCCTGATTGATTTCTCCGCGTTCACTCTCAGTCCGTCCGGATTCTTATAATCTTCAAGATAGAGATGCTAAAGAAGAGCATCCCCCATTTGTACCCCAAGTTAACAGTACAGTACTGCTAACTTGGAACTTTAGTGCAAGAGCTTGACCCCCGGGTCTGTGTAAACCTCCGTGAGCCTTTCAATTTTCAATTTAGATTAGCAGTAAAGTGCTGTCACTCCAAACCTGCAGACCAATTGTTTCAGTTTTTGGGACATGTCGAGCTTGAACCAGCGAAAACTTTGATGATTGACGCTCAACGATTGGGAAAATATTGTTTCCCTGTGACACCGCACTCTTTTTCCTATGTCATCTGCGATTGACAGGCATGGCATTGATGCTTGGTTTAGCAAACACGGCTGCCTTGTCGCGGTGTGTTCAGTATCGAGGTATCGAGGAGATGGGTTAATTTAATATTGCTGACTTTCACACTACCGCTCTGCGTCTTTGGCCATCAGTTTGCGGGCCACAGGGGCGTGACCAAGACCTTGGCCTTGGTGCATCCTTGTACTGAAGCAATGCAAGCATCAGATCACACTCACCAACGCTTGGGCCAGCAGTAGCCGCAGCTGCACGTTAAGGGGAAACGAGAGGGATGCACCAATGACATCAAAAGTTGCTCAACAAAAGGAACGTGTTCATAGCAGCAGTTAGCAGTCAGCAGTCAGGCTGTACACGATCATTTAAGCAATGTATGCATTGTCGTGATTAGACGGAGGGTCAGCGCAACCCTCGCCATGGCCCCAAGCATATGCGCTGACACTACTCACCGTTACGCAGCAGGATCAGCTCCTTCTCGCGTAGCTGCTCCTCCTTCCTACGTAGCTGCTCCTGATTCCTTCGTAAATATGTTAACGTGCCCCTGTCCGTGCAGGCCGCTATTTGTTCCTTAACGGCCTCTATTTCGCCCTCTAGCTTGCGGAGTTCCGCCTCTATAGCCTGAGGATCAGGGCACATTTTGAATGCGGCGCTGCTGCAGATCGCGGTCAGCGATGCACAACTTGAGCTTTACTTCTGGGATCATATCAGAACAAAATCAAAGTCAACTCTGTGGAACAACAGGGAAATCTTTTATCTTTATTCTATAGCTGAAATCCAAACATAGGCCCCATAGGTGTTCCGTCCGCGGCTGTTCCGTATTCCGAAAGTTCCGGTGAGACTAGATGTGTCGGCGACATGGGATTTGCTGACAGGTAGACTCTGCCCAGAAACCTGAGGTTGACAGACAGTTATACTGAACCTGAGACCTTGGATTGGCCGACAGGCAGTTAGACGAGCGTGTGTTGCAAACGTGTTGGGTCTTGAACCCTGCTAGTCTCAAAGTCCTTCTGCGTGTCGCACATCATCGCTTCCCAGACTGATACGGTTTTGCCTGGCGATGAGCACCCGCGTCGACTCATTTTGTATCGGCCCATTACTCTAGCTGTGTCTTACAGCACCTGAGACTCGTGATCACCCACCTGCGCCGCCAAGCCCACCACAGCCACTCAACAGCGCCTCTAGGGAAGGATGCAGCAGCGTGGCTATCATAAATGACAGGAAAACATTTCCAGAAAAGTCCATTTACTCTTTTGCAATCCAGTGTAATCGCAACTGCACATGTCAACTGTCGACCCCGATCTGTGTTCAAGCTCGTCCGTAGCACATAAATATTTGGGCATTTGAGCACTGCAGACGTAATGCTTACTGAAACGTTGCAAACTTAAAGAGCAAGATCAATACAAACACGGCGGATATGGTACACTGTACACCTCTACCCCCCAACCTGATCTCTCAACCCCACCAGCTCATCCTCCGAGCTAACACCGCCTCGGGGTCCACACCATCATCCGACGGGCCCACAGCACCGCCACCACCGCCCGCTTCCATGGCGGCATAGCTGGCTTGATGGCATTGTACGGCATGTGTGACGAGTTCGCACAGCTGCTCAACAAGCCGTGGCGGTGTGTGTGTGTGTGTGTGGAGTATTGTCCGCATTGAGTTATGTCAGGACGGGCCAGATCTGGGTATACGTACATACGTACACATACGGGGTGATGATTGCCTGGAACGCACGCCATGCAAGACACCGATATAACGATGGTGCCACACCGGGGTTCTTCACCAGGGTACCCAAAAATTTCGTTCGTGTCCGAAACCCTCTGAATAACGTTTCGGGGCCCTCCCCGAAAATTTTCCTGTCAACCTGACAATGTTTTCGGGTGCCCCGAAACTGTCTGAAGCGGTTTTCGGGGTAAATTATAGCTGGGTTCTATCGTTATGTGCTAGGACGGCTGAATTAACAGGTGTTTGACTTTATTTTGGAACATAGCGCCTGGGAGAAACATTTGTATGATAGGAACTTACCAGATGCCTTAAAGAAGCCGCGAATCCCGAGTGAGATGCGGGGCACCTTGGTTGGGCGCTCATCATCTGTTGACTCGGGCATGTTTAACTATGCATATGCTTACAAAACATGTCTGCGATACAGCTGCGAAACAGCCGCAAGGCACATTTGTACTTGTTGTTTGACTGGTAACCAAGCGGGCCTTATACGGCAAGCCCGGTTTCCAGGCCCCATCTGCGCCCGAAAACATGCAAATTTACTCTAAAATATCGTTCGGTTTTCTCCGAAAATGCCTTCAAAAGGCTTCGGTGGGGTCCCCGAAAAAATGCTCCAAAAGGCCCCAAATCCGTTCGGAATGCTCCGGGGCGCACTAATTTTCCTTTCGGGCAAAACGGAAATATCTCAAGACAGCAGTGTGGCAGCCACACCAACTGCCCGTCCATCATCACTCGGAGTTAGGTTAGGGGGTTGCGGGGCGACCTACCGCAAGAAGGCGCGAGTGGAAGGGGGGGAAGGAGGCGAGGGGGGAGGCGTGTCGGGTGGATGGAGGTGACGGTGGAGGGTAACCCAATGGGGGCGTTACGGCCCCGTTGGGTTACAGGGGGGTAACCCCGGGCGCGAGGAGAGGGAGACCCTCCCTCCGAACACCCCCCCACACACAAACGCACATCTCCCCACACCAGCCAACCGGCCCATCGGCCCCCGACCTGGTCAAGGAGGGGTATCGCCTCAGCAGGACCAACGACAGCTAGGCCGCCGCCGGCACCGCCAGCACCGCTGCCGTGCACATCGTCGTACTCTCCGCCATCTTCACCGGCGTCATCGTCTTCTAAAAGGGACGCTGCTGCCGCCGCTGCACCGGTGCTGGCGGTGCCAGAGCTGACTCCAGCAGCCGCCGGCGCCCCGAGAAGCAGCGCCGCCGCCGCCGCCGCCAGCCAACACACACACACACACATACACACATACACACATACACACATACCCACACGCGCGCGGGAGAAGAGAAAACACCCCGGTGGTTCATATAGACGGTGTAGGACGTGATTATAGCAATTTGCGAGCTGACCAGGAAATAAGTTGAGGCGCCGTTGATCCGCTAGATTTGGTTGGATGCTGGTGGTGAGTTGCTGAACCCAACGAATACATTTTGAAGTCGGATGGGGTGAACGGATTAGGGTGCCCCTCTATCAGGGGAGAGCAGGGACTGCCTCGGGAAGGAGGCCACTGGTGAAGCTGTACCACCCTGTAACAACATCAACAACAACAATACTCCCACTACATGTCATTGCAAGGTACTGCCACTCATAGACACTGGTTGGGGCTCTGCAGGTAAAACCCTTTCCGCAACCCCTTAGAAACCCTTTGCCATCCCTTTCTTCACACACCCCCATTCCCCCGTAACCCAAACGTTTCCCTCTTTTCCCTGTGAGTAACCCCTCCCCCCCCCAACACACACGCACGCAGATCCCCCGCCTCGTCCCACAATCCGCCCCCAGCACACACATACACACAATCCTTGGTTTCCCCGTCTTCCAACCCTTCCCCCCTTCCGTACCTCTGAAACCACGACATTACGACATTACCTAGGAGGTTTCCTAGGTGAAGGGAGCCCGCAGTGGGATCGAATCCGCAGTAAACGGACAGCGGCCCCTCCGCCCCCCCCCAGCCGCCTCCAGCTCCTCCCCCCCCGTCACTTCCTGGACCAGCCCCCTGGAGCGAAGCAGTGCAACTACATTGGGTCGCCCTCCATGGTGGCCGCCGGGGGGTGCGGGGGTCGATGTGGTGGTGGTGTAAGCACTGCTGGAGGCGGTGACGTTGGAGGTGGTGGAGGCTTCTGGGTCCAGAGGTAGCGGGGGAAAGGGCGGAAAGAGGTGCATGCGTGGGGGTGAGAGTGGCGAGGGTGAGGATGTCGGCGCACGACGTAAGTGTGACAACCCACCTGCGGGAAAGGGGCCCGCTGTAGCTGTTTCAGTAACCTCAGCAGAGGCTGAGCAGGGGGTATTGGGTGAAAGCTTGCTGCTTTAAAAGGGCGCTGGGCGTCGCCGTTGGTTCGGTCCCGTCCTGCGCATGGGTCAGTTGGAAGTCATCGCACGTCGGCATACTGTCGTTGTAATCGATACTAGAGGTATGGCAGATCGAGTAGCGGATCACATCACGTGATTGGATGGGATATCTTTAAGCAGCCCCTCGCAGAAATGTGTCCGGTCGTACTTCGCGAATAAAGTGTTCGTACATCGTCCCAAAAGAATTTTCTTTCGGCGGAAAGGACCAGGCGCGCCAGCGCGTTGCGCAGGTGGTCTTGTTGGCCATAGTCGCACCCGGCATGCAGGCTGGACTATTGCGTGGCTGCTTTGCAGTATCTGAAAGCACCGAAAGCCTACGTCGTAGCTTGCAACACTGGGCTCGTGAAACTGCCGCAAGAAGATGAAGCGTTCGGGGAAGAAGCAGTTGTGTGCAGCACCTTGTTCAGAGTAAAGTCAAATTACAAAGTTGCGCAAAGTATAACATACATAAACTCAATTAAACATAAGAACAGATAAGACGTTTAGAGCCTTGTCGGTGACATGGACACCGCTGTTGGCTTGGAACAGCTATTTGCTGTGCATAGGGACGTGCCCGCGTTAGCCGTGTTGCAACAGCTCAGGATGGATTTCAGCCAGCAACAGCCTCAAGAGCTGCTGCACAACCACCGGGAATGTCTTCAGTTGGGCACGTGTAGTTTTGGTCGGCGGGGTCGAGCAGCGTACGCATTGCGCACAGAAACCAAGGTGCAGCGTCTCTGTAACATCGCTAACATATCCGGTACGCGGTGGCAGGCTTGCCGAGCACGAAATGGAGGGGGGGTCGCATCTCACCATTCAACTAAGCATGCATGTGCTCGGTTGATTGCTCGGTAGCGTGCGAGTTTACCCCTATCAGGATGTTTGTTTGCATATCCCTCCAAGCGAGAGGGCTTGGACCTATGCTGATGTTCGTTCCAAAAAGTGATCTGAGGACTGATGCTACGGTGAAAGGTATGCACGTAAATTCGCCCGTGCGCCAATCTCACATTCCAATATGCCACTGCACTTTCCTCTCCAGCCTGGCCACATTCTCTTCCTCGCAAACGTACTTGGGCACCTTACAATCCAACACCATACGTGCTTTGGAAACGCGGGCAGCTGCTTCACAAGGACCCCCCTATTTAAGCAGCCCCTCGCACAAATGTGTCCGGTCGTACTTCGCGAATAAAGTGTTCGTACATCTCGTCCCAAAAGTCAGGAGCGAATTTTACCGCGCAGATGCGCGCGTGCGATTCACAAAATGCGCCTGTACAAGTGTATATAATTTTTCTCGGCGGAAAGGCCAGGCGCGCCAGCGCGTTGCGCAGGTGGGCATGTTGGCCAAAGCCGCACGCGGCATGCAGGCTGGACTATTGCGTGGCTGCTTTGCGGTAACTAAAAGCACCGAAAGCCAACGTCGTAGCTTGCAACTCTGGGCTCGTGAAACTGCCGCGGAAGATGAAGCGGTCGGCGAAGAATCAGCCATAAGGCGCCTGCTTTCGGTAGCGCAGCGCATAATGCACATTGTTCCGACTAAACTCAAGTTACACTCTTACGAAATAAATAATAACATCTCAGAATTAGGTAAAGTTAAGATTCGCGAAAGTCGTTCAGAACCTTGCAAGTAAAATGGATGCCGCTGAGGGCTTGGAACAGCTTTTCGCAGCGCATTCGGCCGTGCCTGCGTTAGCCGTGTTGCAGCAACTACGGAAGGACTTGAGCCAGCAGCAAGCTCAAGAGCTGCTGAATAACCACCGGCATTGTCTTCAGATGGGAACATGCAGTTGTATGCAGCACCTTGTTCAGAGTAAAGTCAAATTACAAAGTTGCGCAAAGTATAACATACATAAACTTAATTAAATTTCCATAAGAACAGATAAGACGTTTAGAGCCTGGTCGGTGACATGGACGCCGCTGCTGGCTTGGAACAGCTATTTGCTGTGCATAGGGACGTGCCCGCGTTAGCCGTGTTGCAACAGCTCAGGATGGATTTCAGCCAGCAACAGCCTCAAGAGCTGCTGCACAACCACCGGGAATGTCTTCAGTTGGGCACGTGTAGTTTTGGTCGGCGGGGTCCAGCAACGTACGCAATGCGCACAGAAACCAAGTTGCAGCGTTCTGTAACATCGCCAACATATCCGGTACGCGGTGGCAGGCTTGCCGAGCACGAAATGAAGGGGGGGTCGCATCTCACCATTCAACTAAGCATGCATGTGCTCGGTTGAATGCTCGGTAGCGTGCGAGTTTACCCCTATCAGGATGTTTGTTTGCATATCCCTCCAAGCGAGAGGGCTTGCACCTATGCTGATGTTCGTTCCAAGAAGTGAACTGAGGACTGATGCTACGGTGAAAGATTTGCACGTAAATTCGCCCGTGCAATAAAACGCCCTGTAACTCGCTTACGCTAATCTCACATTCCAATATGCCACTGCACTTGCCTCTCCAGCCTGGCCACATTCTCTTCCTCGCAAACGTACTTGGGCACCTTACAATCCAACACCATACGGGCTTTGGAAACGCGGGCAGCTGCTTCACAAGGACCCCCCTATTTTCTCTCTACTTCGTCCGTTGAACATGGGTTTGGCGAATCGGTACGGCGCGTGCACTAGTGTGTTAACCTATCAATCAAGAGCCGCGCGCAGGGCCATTGTTTATTTTACAGTACTTTCGGCGATCCGCCATATTTGACGAATCTGCTGAGGCCTTTGGGCCCTAATGGGTTGTTACAAGACGCCGCCGTTGACATCGGGCGTAGCTGCAGGTAGCTGCCAGGCGAGGAGACGCGCAAGGCACTAAGACATTTCAACGGGACAGGAGGCAGGTGCACAGGAAGTTCCCAGTTTACAAGTAGCTGCTAGAGCACCGTTCAGGGGGGGTTAACAGAGATAACGGTCACCCTGTGATCTCCCCCTAAAAGGTACAGGGCGATGTAGCGGTGTCGCCTTGTTTTCCTCGTGAAAGCGTTGGGCAATGAGTAGCATTAGTTTTCATGAGCAAAAAATGGTATAACTGGACATATGGAATTCCTACCTCCCTAGGCCCTTAGATCGCTTGGTTCCCTACCTCCTTTGGTTAGTTGCGGTTTGGTTGATGCTTTCGCTGATTTTCCACGCCAAGGAGCTGCACTTGACACGCGTTCTGCGCTATGATATAATTAATATAGAATAGTTATAGGCGAGCAATATTAGGCTCTTACAAAATTGCGCTTGGCCCAACATGCGAGTTAACCGAATGCGAATGACAGGCAAGCAGCGAGCCGACGGCTAGGTATGATGCCCGACGATACAGGAAAATATCAACCATACCAACAAGGTTGCACAATACAGTTTGCACAGAGCTTGTCTAGTCGTCAAGCGACACAATCTTAGATTGTACAGGCTCTTACCCATTAGTAGCCACAGCGAAGTTTTGCGATCCCATCAATTGTCAGCTAGCAAACACTTGTATTTTGATATTAGCTCCTGAGGGAGGGCTTTGTTCGGGAACACTTCCTTGCAAAGCTCATGGCCAAGGCGTTTCTGGCCCATCCTGGCTTGAATGTCCGGATACACTTACCGTGACTACAAAAACGCAAGGCTGGAGCGCCGAGCGCAGCGCGGCGGCAGTCATGAGCGACTCTGAAAATTCGGATGAACTACCGCTTCCCATACATCTGATAACAAAGAGTACTAAAGGGAAGGAAGAAGAACGCCCGGTCAAGGGCCACAACAAGAGGACTACGTTGCCTCCGACATCGGATGGGGACAGCAAGTCCTTTGGGCGTGCCTTGACCTGGGCTGAAGGCGTGCCGGAATGTGATTCCTCAAGTCGTGCGCGGCCTTTCAGCGCAGCGGCCTATGCCCATTCCCTCCATCCTCTGGCTACCCTATCAGCCGCCAAATATGCCAAGCTCTCAGACCTCGATGTGCACATTATCGGCGCTATGGAGGTGAGCTGGATTTCCTATTCTCCGCACGGACCCTCCCTCCCGCTTTTGCCTCATCGCCATGCCTCATGTGCCAGGTTGGCACACCTGGGCACACCAACCCCTCTCCTTAAGGGTATGCGCAGAACCCCTCTGTAGTGAGAGGTTGCTGCTCGGCAGGACTGTAAATGCGCTGAATCCATCTGGGTCGCGTCCGTGCCTCCAACACCGAGTGTGTGCGCCTGCTCAGTGCTCAGTGCTCAGTCCCATCCCCCTTACACCCCGGTTTCGCGGGGATCGCCTCCCACCCTTCCACAGCATAAAGACAGCCACCGCGATCTGCTGGCGGAAACCATGGAGCGCATGGCCAAGGTGGGTAGGCGGCTGGGCGTGGAGCTAAACGCATGACGGGTTTTTTGGATACACGCACGCGGTTAGGAGGGTTTTGGGGGGAGTTTTCCAGTTTGGGAGCCATGATACAGAGCGGGCGGCTACGTCCTCTTGTGTGTGTGGGTCGGCCCGGCGGGGTCCGTTACAGAACTGAGCCGTGAGGTATTACGGACGTACGTAGGTCTGCATACGTGTATGTGCGGGGCCGGGTATCGCGCACGTGTGTACGAGTCTGTGCAGCACCTAAAGTGTGTTAACATTGTTGGACGGACCGAGGTGGCTATGTATGGTTGGTGCGAAAGGGCTCGGGGCAAGGATGAGGGGTTTAACGCGGCGGTTATGATTACCATGCACCCGGGGAGATGCATGGCTAGCGGCATGGCCCTGGGAGGATGGGTTTGACTCGTTGGGGCCGCGGCTTTGCATGAGTAGGGAGAAGGGAGAAAACTGCCACCACCGTAGGTCTTTGTAGCTGTCTTTGTAGCTGTGCGCCAGCTGCCCAACTGCGGCATTTCCAACCCCGCGGCAGTGCGCCCATGGCGCTAGCACTGCCCGCGTCCCTCCTCCAGCCACCAGCAGCGCACCGCCGCTGCCGCCTGCTTTGCTCTGTTCCTGCCGCCCGCCCAACTCTATCACCCCTGCCAGCACACCGCCAACGCGGCTGTCCAACCACGCCACTAACCTCGACCCCATTCCACTCCACTCCACCCCACTACCCGACCTCTTTCCTTCGCCCCTCCCCCTTGCCGTGGGACAGCACAATGACCGTCTCAAGAATGAGGCGGCCCGGCTGCGGGCAGCTAACCAGGAGCGGGCGGCGCGGACCATCCAGGTGAGGTCTCGCGCACAAGCAGGGATGGGAGAAGGAGGAAATATGCGCAAATATGCGCAAATATGCGCAAATATGCGCAAAGTCAAAGGAAAAGAACTGCCTTGGGAAGGACGTATGTATGTGTGTATGTATGTCAAACGCCAAGGAAGCACCTGCCGACGTCGGGGCCAGGGCCTCTGGGGTTTAGGCGGGCGTGACGAGGCTACGGGCTGACGAGTCACGAGGACGAGGCGAACCCCCACGGACTCTTGGGTTGTGAGGAATCATATGAGGCGGCGGAGGAGGAGGAGCAGGTGGAGGAATTAATGGTTCAACTGCCCAGATATCTGGGGGGGATGTAGAACTGAATTGGTTGTGTGGGGAGTATGGTCGTGGTGGGAATATTAGGGGCATTTGCAGCGTGGGAACAACGGGCAAGGAATGGAGGAGGAGGGGGAGGAGGGGAAGGGGGAGGGGCAGGGGGAGGGGGAGGGGGAGGGGGAGGGGAGGGCAGGTTGGGAAGCCTATACAAGAGTGGGCAGGTGTAGGGGTGGGGTGGGGAAGGGCCCACCCCGATGGCGGCTCGAGGCAATGCCGGGCCGGCGGTAGAGCCGGGCTGCGGACGTGTGGGTATCATTGGCAGGGCAGCCGGCAGCCGGGAGCATGTTGCAGGTGGGGAGAGGGTGGCTCCTGCGGCGCCCTTCCTGCTGCCGCGACTCAGTTCAGTGAAAACGTTGCGCCGCTCTCTCTCTCTCTCTCTCTGCGTGTGTGTGTATATGTGTATGATCAGGTGTACTGGCGCATGTACCGAGACAGGCTGAAGGAGCAGCGCAAGCAGGAAAAGCGGCGGAAAAGCACGTGGATGGAAACCGTCCGGGCTCGCCGTCCCTTGCCCGCCGACGAGGACGATGATGACGATGATGATGATGATGACGATGAGGGACATGAGGATGACGTTGGCGGCGGCGGCGGTGGTGCGGGTGGCAGCAGACGGGGCAGCAAATGGAGCAGGGAGGGCAGGGGCAAGAAGACGCCCGACAAGGACAAGGACAAGAAGACGGGGGTGGATGAGCCGAAGGAAAAGAAAAAGAAGAAGAAAAACACCCGAGGTGAGCAGGCACCCACAGCTACGCCTCCACCATTTCGCATGCACCTCAGCGCCCCAGTGCCCGAGCGCAACCTTTTTTGCTTTCGGCAGTAAGAGGGGCGAACTGAGCCCCACCCGACTCCAACCCTCACCCGAACCCAAAACCCGCAACCCCGGGGCGGCCCCCGCCCACCTGCAGGCAAGGAACAGGGGCCAGGACAGGAGGGCGCGTCAAGTGGCGCTGCAGGTGTGTATGTATGTATGTGTGCATGGATGGATGGATGGATGTGTGGATGGATGGATGGATGTGGTGGCCGATGCCGGTGGACGGCAGGATTTTGCGCTGTCTGCACCGCCCAGGAACGGGGGAGGAGGAGGGAGAGGAGGGGGGGAGTTGCCCGAACCACACCACCCTATGCAAGATGCAACGGGACTTTTGATAGGGGGGAGAAAAGGCGCTCTAACGGATCGGTGCTCTCTCGTAGGACAGGACAGAAGTAGATTGGTGGGAGAGGCCCTGTGGCCGTACGGTAGGGGGTAAGACGAACCACTGGCGAATGAAGCGAAGATCACCAGGGGTAGGCGGATACAGTCCAGGAGAGGACAAATGCTGCATCAGGAGTGAAAAAGTTACTTGTGTAATATGGTAAGGGCCGCTACGTGTCTGTATGTCTGTGTGACCTCCCCAGGTGCGCCGGAGGCCGCTGGGGACAGCAGGAGGAAGGTCAAAGTGAGGAAGCCCAAGAGGTCGACAACGGCCGACGGCGATGCCGCCTCGGCCGGTGCCACCGGCGACGGCGCCGACGCCGGCGATGCCACCAAGCCCCGGTCCAGGAAGTCCTCTAGGAAGAAAGTCGGCAAGAGAAAGGGCGGTGGCGGGGGTGACGGTGACGGTGACGGCGGCGGCGGCGGCCAGGGCTCAGATGCCGACGGCACCGCCATCGCACCCTCCTTGAGTTGGTTGGAAATGGCGGCGTGTAGTTTGACCGGAGATGGGGCTGGAGGGGATGATGTCGACCCCATGGAGGCCGGCCCCGCGGCCGCGGCGAAGACTACGGCAGCTCGTGTCTCCGATGGCGTGGAAGCGGATTCCCTGCTGGGCGGAGAAGGGGAAGGGGAGGAAGAGGAAGAGGGAGAGGAGGAAGAAGAGGAGGAGGAATGTTACAGGGAAGATGAGGGGGAGGGGGAAGATGGGAGGGACGAGAAAGGAGGCGGGGAGGGGGACGGGTATGAAGACAATGACCTTTCGGGGGTTGTACCTGGCGAGGGTGTTGACCCGGTGGGGAGTCAGGACGGGGAAGGATGCGGCGCAGCGGCGCCGGCGGCGGTGACGGAGGATGCGGAAGCGGAGGCCGGGGCAGAAGGGGAAGGCAGCACGGCGCCGGCGGATGGCGGCGAGGAGAGCGCTGGCACCTGCGACGGTGCGGATGCGTCATGGCAGGACGACGGAGACCGTGACGGCAGCCTGGCAGCGGCCGCGGCGGAGGCCGCGGCGATGGCAGCGGCAGCGGCGGGCGGTGCTGCTGCTGCTGACGCGGCGGCTGCTGCTGCGGCAGCGGCTGCCGCCGCCGCTGCCGCTGCTCAGAAGCGGCGCGCCGAGGCGGCGGCGGCTCGTCTGGCAGCAGCGGCGGCCGATGCCGCCGCCCGCGCCGCTGCACGTTCGGCCCGGCGGCAGCCACCGCCGCCGCCGCCGCCGCCGCCGCTGCCTCAGCCACAGCAACGGCATACAGCGGATAAGGATCCCGCTGCCGTACAGCTCCAGGCTTGGGAGCCTGACCTTCCGGACGCCAACTCAATGTACAGAAGGTCGGTGGGTGCTCACATACACTTCCGCACACGGGCATTGGGGGGAAGTCAGGTCAGGTGCCGTACTGGTGCTGGTGGAGGAGCCCCGGGATGGCTGGCTGCCCGGCGTGGAGCAGAAGTGGCAGCTCACGGCGTGTGATGCTCCGCAGTGCCCGGGGGGGATTCGTCAATGGCAGGGGGGCCCTTGAAAGCTGTCTGGCTGGGTTCAGCTGTAAGGGCAAAACAAAACAATTCTGGTTCCTTATGGAAAATAATCCTGGAATATTAGAAATGAATCATGAATTAATAGAAAATTATTGAAAAAAGCTTGGTAGGATTACGCCATTCAAAAAATACAAAAATCACCGTCCTTCGCCGCTGTCCATGTCGCATCATGTACGTGCAGGATGCCGTTAGTAATCCGGGGTCACGGCTCTGCGCGGTCAACCCGCCCCGAGCGCCACACCGGCCATGAACGCACCAGCGCCTCCGCCACCAACATCGGCGGTTCTAACGCCGCCGCCGTCGCCGCCGGGCAGAGTCAGAGCTTCAATGCATTGATGCAGATGCAGGGGGATGCCCGCAACATCCCGTCTCTGCTGAAAATCATTGACCCCACGGCCGCCGCACTGGCGGCAGCGCTCGTCGCGACGGCACCAGCCAGCCCCACGGGCCATAACCTGTTGCCCGGCGGCGCCGGCGGCGCCGCTGCGGCGGCGGCCGCCGCCGCCAAGATGATTGGTCGTGTACGGCCTGTCAGTGGCAGTGGCTGCTACGACAGGCCCCACAGCCTGGCCTTCCTACAGCTCCTATCACCGCGGCTGGCGCGGCTATCACCGCTGAGACGTGTACGACAGCAGGACGACGGTCCGCCGTCCGCGCCGTTGCTGGTCGTGACGCGGCTGAACACCCCACGGGGCTACGGCTCCTCACCCAATCTCCGCGGGAACAGGTCAAGTGACCCGGGCTTGCCATCAGCCGGCTTTGCCGCCGCAGCTGGCGGCGGCACCGCTGCCGACGCCGACGCGTTGCTGCGGTCCCTGCGGTCACCGCTGACGGCTTACAGCATGACGGTGGAGGTTTCTGCGGATCCGGATTCCGCTGAGGGGATGTACTCAGGACAGAGGGGCCTGTCAGATCCGCAGCTACCCCTGACGGAAGATGACCTGCAGCAGCTGCTGGGCGACACGGCGGAGGTGGTGTCGGTGACGGAGGGCGTGCGGGAGTCGACGGCGACATCGGTTCTGGCAGCAACGACGCCGCGCGTATTGAGCTCGCGTGCGACGCCGCGAGGAGGCTCCCTGACGAGCTTCGGCGGCGTCGCCGGCGTCGGCGGTGGTGGCAGCGGCGGGAGCTGCTCTGCGCCGGCGTCGCCGCTTCGTGGTGGTGGTGGCGGTGCTGTGGTTGGCACCGCCGCCGCTGCCACAGGCGGGGCCGCTGGCGGCGGTGAGTATGTTTTTGCCACGGAGCTCTTCCCGCAGCCGCGCCAGTCGAGACGGTCTCGTCCAGATCCGTACAGAGTTTACAAATTGACAGGTCAGCGGGGAAGGCAAGCCCGCAGCATCGGGGGTGGCGGCGGCGAGGGGAACACACCGTCGCGCGGGGGATCGACGGCGGCGGCGGCGGCCATCTCACGTATGTCGCCGCAGCGCGCCTCTCAGTTCCGGCCGTACATCACGGCCTCTATCATCAACCCGGGCTTTGGCGACGCCGGCCCATTGTACGGCACCGCTAGTATCGGCGGCAGATCAACCGTCGGTGAAGGCGTGGAGTTCGGCCTTAGCCCGGAGGCCAGTTACGTGTCGGTTCGCTCCAACCGAAGTATGGGGCCTCCCCTGGCTGCGGAAAGGTAAGGGAGGAGAAATAGTTGTTTAGGCGGGAATTGGGCTTTGAAAATATGAATTTGAATTTATATTTTTGCATTTTCGCGCTCGTGGACAGTATCTTCCTTTCCTTACGCATCATCCTGGGTCGATCTCGCGCTTCCCTCGTTTCGCTTTGTCCCGAGCATTTTTTTCCAGATTCGTGTCCGAATTTCCTTACCGTTCTAAAACTCTGCCTCTTGTTTGACCCATATTTTTCATAACTTGCGTAGGAGCGCACCGGCGTTGCTCCAGGGCAGTCTGAACGGCGGCAACGCCACTACCGCCATTGGGGGCGGCGGCGGCGGCGGCGGTAGCAACACGGCCGCCGGCGCGGCGGCAGGCCTACCCTTCCGCTACCGCGCGGATGTGCTGAAGGGAGTCTTCGCTATGGCCAACATAGAGCCCGCCCAGATTCTGCAACGCGCCATGACGCCGCCGCGTGGGCTGCGCGGGCGGCCCATGGCCATGGCGCCGCCGCCGCCACCGCTGCGGCCGGTCGGGTCACAGCTGACGCCGCCGCCATCGCAACCGACCCTCAAGGTGTGTTGTCTGGACCCCCAGGTTAGCCTAGTTAGGAAATGCAGGAGGAAACCCCACTCTAGGACACGTTCAACTTTATGTCTGTCCTTTTGTCGTACGTTCGTACTTCCACCCACGTGCCCTCCTGCTCCTCCTCCTCCTCCGCGTCTTGTCCCCCTCAAAACAGGCAGTGGATTTGGCCCAGCAGGTAACGGAGCTGCTCTGTCAACCTCCCGGCCGACGGGACTCCCGGCGGCAGGCCTCACTGCTGAAGCAGTACGGCATCCCTGCTGCGGCCGCCGCCGCCGCCGCTGCGTCGTCGTCATTTTTCTCCGCGGCCCATGTGGCGCGCAGCCGTGGCCGCGGCAGCCAAGGTCAAACCCATCATCGCCAGGAAACCGCCGCCGCTGCCGCCTCCGCCGGGGATTCGCCTGGCTTCTACCCCACCACCACGTCCTACGGCCCCATTGGCCGTGCTTCGTTGCAGCAGCCGGGTGGTGGTGGTGGTGCTGCTGCTGACGGCGTCGGTGGCGTCGATGGCATGGCCCTGGGGGCTTTCCGAACGTCGGCGGCACCGGCGTCGGCGGAGGAGCTCGGAGTGGTGTTGGAGGTCAGCCGCCAGCTGACATTACAGGAAGCCGAGCGAAACGGCTGGGGCCACGATTTGCGACAGAGCCAAGGACATGGACTTGGAGATGGACAAGGACATCAACATGGCCATGGTCAAGGGCTAAGTGGCCATGGTCATGGGCTGGAGAGCAAGCCGTTGCTTGTCTCGCATGTTAGCGGCAGTGGCCAGCTGGGGGCGGCGGCGGCGGCGCCGCCGCCGCTGCGACGGAGCTCGGATCCATGGGTGGCTGCAGGGCTAATCACGGTGACTTCAGCGTCCGGGCAGCAGGACGCGGAGGGCTTGCCGACATTGGAGGCGCCGCGCTTGGTTCGGACCGTGAGCGGCGGTGCCGGCGGCACCCAGCGGGCGGGCGTTAGAGGGCCGCGGCCGTCGGCGTCACTACCTGCGCTGTGCAGCGGCGGCGGCAGCACTAGCGGCGGCGACGACAGCGGTGACGGCAGTGGAGGCGGCAGCACCAGCGGGGCCGCGCTTGTATCCGCCGCAGTCAGCGTGCTCACGAATAACGGCAGTGTGAGCACCGGTTACGGCGGCGGTGGCGGCGGCGGCGGTTATGGCGGCGGCGGCGACGGCGGCAGCTTCGGAGGAGGTGGTGGACCTGCCGTCGGGCGTGGCAGCGGCAGCGCTGACTTTGCCGCGGGTCTCGTCGGCGTCCCCATGCTGCCTTTGCTATCAGGATCTCACGCCGCCCCTGCCGCATTCCCCCTGCCGAGTCGTACACGCGCACCGCTACAGTCATTGGCTGCAGAGCCGCCGCAGCCACCGCCGCTGCAGTCGCGCGCTGGTTCCCGTACCGAAATTCCCATGCCTTTAGCCTTGGTCGCCGCCACCGACGCGGTTGACGCGGCGGCAGCGGCGGCAGCGGCGGCGGCAGCGGCGGCAGCAGACGACGATGACATGTACCGCCGTAGCTCTGAACCTCCCTCAGTTGCAGCGTCGACGCTTGGCGGCGACGGCTGCTACGGGTACGACACCGGCCGTACATTCGAAGTGCTGTCATCTGCGGGACGGCCTGGTTTCCTTTGGGACACCAGTCGGCCAATTTCAGAGGTGGGCCGCTGCAACTCCCAAAATCAGGACCTGCCTAGATTACACGACCCATGGGCGTCGTCGACGTCGGCGGAGCTGACGCATAGAGGGGCCACAGCGTACAGCGATGGCGAAACGACGCCACAGCTGACGCCGCCGCGCTCGCGTTTGTCCGGCAGATGCGCACGGCCCAGCGGCCGCGAACCGGATGCATTCCTCCCCGAGCTGCCGGCGGTAGCGCAGCACGGCAGCGGCGGCGGCAGCGGCGGGAACATCCGCCCTGTGGCTGTGCCATCCTTGCAGGCGCGTACTTCAGCCCTGACGTGCGCGCATGCGGGGGTTTCCAACGGCGGCGGCGGTGGCGGCGGCGGCGGCGGCGCAACCGCCGCTTCGCTTGGGGCGTCCTGGCCGCCGGCCGTGCCGGCGCAGCGCCTTGAAGCCGTCGGCTCTTCCACCTCCTTTAGCAGCGGCTCACCTCACCCGCCACCGGTCCCGATCAAATCGCCTGGCGCCGTCGCCGTCGCCAGCGCCGGCGGCGGTGGCGGCGGGCCGCCGCCGCTGCCGGCGGCACCAAGCTGGACGTTAACACAACCTGCCCGGTGCTCTTCACGGCGGAAGAAGCACCCGGACCAGCACCCGCACTCGCCCGGCGCCGGGCGGTCGCCCTCAGGCTCGATACGGGCTCCCGGCCA